TTCTTTCTGGGTTTATGTCAGACATTTTTCTGTAAAGATTTAACATTTTATGGCTGCACTAAATGCGTAGAATCATTATATGGTTTACATGTTCACTAAGCACAATTTTAGACCAACTTTGGTGTCTTGTCCACAACAAATGTCTGCACTTGAACAGCGTTTTTCTCTCCATGGTTTCCAAGTCCTTCCTGCGAGTGCTCTAGGCGAAATATGTCATGTGACTTTAAGCTCGTACTATTTGCGAGCATTACAGTTGGAATGGCCCCCATGGCTAAGACAGTCTTACCTGCAAATTTTTCAGGAAGAAAAAGCAATTTCATAGAACATGGCTGTGATGCATGATGAAATGCTGAATGATTTCTTGTTATTCAGGCAAGCCTATTACTGTATGCTGTGCCTACAGTGGAAGAATCGCTGTGGCTTACAGACATGGTGCAATTCGAGCAATGTCGGAAAACCCACATGACAAGTTTGTCAACTTGTATGTTGCAATATATGAGTGCGAATCAACAGGTAGGCATATACACAGCATTGCTTATCATATTTCTGTGATGTGTTCTAGTTCTATCTTTATCTCATGTAAAAAATGATGGTTTTGAAAATTTCATGAAATCACCTGACCGAACAAACATTATTCATTCCTGCTTGACAACGGTACGTGAATCTGTATCGAAACGTCACACTCTCATAATAAAAAGTAGTTGTTTGTCTATTTTGGTACTTCCAGCTTCTTAAATGCCACTCAAAGAAGTCAAACAAACATTAATGAAAGAATAGAATATGGCTTTTTTTATCCCCTGGCATGTAATGCGGGGGTACAGTCGACTCCTCGTCCATCTGTCCGTCCGTCCGTAATCATTTTGTTTCCGGAGCATAACCCAAGAACCTTTCAATATTTTTCAACAAAACTTGGTAGATATATCAAACAGAACCTTAAGTGGTGCCTTTTGCTATTTGCAGATTTTTGGCATTTGTATTTTTCCCGGTTTCCATGGAAACGATTCGGAATTAGTCCCAAAAGGGATGGGTGGGCTTCGTTTCCGGAGCACAGCTAGAAAACTTTTAATATCTTTCAGCAAAACTTGGCAGATATGTGAGGCAGATGCCAAAGTGGTGCTTTTTGCTACTTGGAAGAATTTTGGCATATTTATTTTCCCCGTTTCCATGGAAACGATTCAGACTTAGCCCCAAAAGGACAACTTGAAAAGCATTCATTATCTTTCAACAGAACTTGGCAGATGTATTAGGCAAATTTTGCAATGGTGCCTTTTTGCTATTTACAGATTTTTGGCATTTATATTACTCATGATTTCCATGGAAACAATTTGGACTTAGTTTAAAAAAAACATCAAGCTGGACTGTAAGTAACTGTCAGATGATTTGTTCTTTCAAATTTGTGGGGGCCGGGGGGATATGTCATCTTCTGATGACTCTTGTTTAAATTGTATAAATTGTATGTCAGTATTTAAAAACCCTCAGAAATGTGACTGTACCTTCAGGTGGATCTGAATGGATTCTTGAGGATACCATTGAACTTAAAAACATCAAAATCCCCGACCCAAAAGCTGAGATAGATCTGGCACAGATCTTCAACCCTGATGGATCAGCCTCTCGACCAGTGGGAGGTCTCTCCCCTTCATCATCATTTGCAAACATTCCCCGGACAAAGTCTGTGCCCAGCCTGAGCACCATCCACACAGTGAGGAAGTCCATAGCGGAACAGGGTAACAAGCTCGGCCTCCTCATGCAGAAGTGTCTGGTGCAGCTGGACTGGGTGTCGTCTGAGGACGGCTCGCACATCCTCACCGTGGGAGTTGGATCCAAGGTGTTGATGTACTCGCAGGTATGGAGATGGTCACACTGGCAGTGACTCTTTGTTAATCTGATACTATGTATTTGGGGGTGGGGAGGTGCTCACAATGGATGTGACTGTTTGTAAATCTAATCTTTTATTGCTGCAGGTGTATTTTGCTCGCATTGCCAAGCTGTTTGTAAATCTAGTCTTTTACATATTGTTTGAGAATCTTTATGTCAGTTATTTAAGAGTGTAAGATGAAAGGAACTAGTCTCTTAATAGTTGTGAAAGGATCTCATTTTTAGCAGGTATATTAAGATATTTATGCAGGGGTGTCAAGATATTTTTGCAACTTTGTTTTGTCAAGATATGTTTGCAGTTTTGTCAAGATAGTTTTGCAGTTTTGTCAAGATAGTTTTGCAGATTTGTCAAGATAGTTTTGCAGTTTTGTCAAGATAGTTTTGCAGTTGTGTCACGATCTAATGTATATATTAAATGCTTTTGTGAGCATGCAATGTTTTTTGTCCCTGTTAGGATATAAGCAGTTCAATGTAATGTTGCTAATTTTCGAGATGTTTTTTGGTAATAAGTACATAACATTTGCATAGTTGAAGCTGGTGCTGAGACTGGAAACTTTGGACAGGGGCTCTTCCATTCATCTCAGTGAATGATGTTGTTTCTCATTCATTGAGTCTTGTCAAATGGCAACAGAGTTTCTAACTGTAACTCAGAGCTTTGGGCCTAAATCTGTCTGTGTTTACAGAAGCTGATATTTGGTTGGGAACATCTCCAGAGTAGAGAGTAGTACTTTTGTCTGAAGAGTAAAATATCTTCATTAGGGGTTACAGAGTGCAGAAATGGAATACCAAAAATCCTGATGCTTACCTTGCCTGTCAGTGGTACGATATGTCCTCTCTTTTATCCAGGTATCAATGAAATCTCACAAGAGTCCTTGAAGGCTTTCACCGGGAAACAGTTGAAATCAACAAGTAGCACCTTGACTGGGCGATCTCGACCTATGATGCAAAAGTCAAAGTCACTTGTTGTTGACAACTACCAAGAAGAAATTCGCTGGATGAGATTACGAGCATTAGAGCTCACTACCGCAGATGGATTACCTCCCTTGCCAATGCATTTATCTTGGGTTCGAGCTGGCATCCTTGTGTTAGGAATGGACAATGAGATGCATGTGTATTCTCAGTGGCGAGGGGCTTTCGGTGCTGACAACCAAAGTCTTTCTTGTGACGATGTCAACATTGACAAACGAACACTTAATGAGGTGAATCGGTCAAGTGTAGCAACGTCTTCAAATTTCGGAAAGAAATCTTCGACTAGTTTCAAGCCATCTTACTCCATGCCTAGTTTTAAGCATTTTAATTCTAGTCTATCTCACACCAGCATGAAACGGAAGGAAATGTGGAAGAAATCGGAGCAAGGTTCGTCAGCTTCAAAGAACAGTCTTTCAAGAAGTGACAGCATAACGAGCCTGAGTGTGATACATGACTTTGGTCTGTTTGAGGCAGCAAGGCAAGCGAACCCTGTCCTACCCCAGTATCATCCAAAACAGTTAATAGAGTTGTTGAACTTTGGGAAAATCAAAAGGGTCAAGGCTATCTTAGCTCACCTGGCCAGGTGTATGGCAGGAAGTGAAACTATGCAGGCTGTGTATGTTGATGACCTTGATAATGAAGAAGGGCTGGTGTCTGTGAGATCAATACGTCCTCGAAGTGTGTCTGTGTCAGCCAGCAATAAAGAAAGTGAGTTACGCCTGGAGGAAGAGATAACCGTTGATGTGAACGAGATCAGCTCCATCCCACCGCTACCTATTTATGCTTTACTGGCTGCAGATCAGGACAACACTGGAGTTAATGTAGAAATCTCCAAAGCAGGAGCAGCAACTGCCTCCAACACCAACCCTCATCCTGAAGACTACACTGAGCTGTTCAGTCGGGATGTGATTAACGATGACTCTCTAGATGAAGGACTCTTGTCCACATCTGCAGACAGCTCTGGTGGTGCAAAGAGAACCAGGATGCACTCGTCCAGCCACACTCCAATGAATCCGCACTACTTCGGTCCGAAGCAGGGCAAGGTCCTTGGGGCTCATCTACTCCATATCCGCCTCCCTGGACTGTCCAGTCTGGATCAGATGTACCTCATGGCACTGGCTGACACAGTGGCCAGCACCAAAGTGGACATCTCAGACAACTTCTCACAAGACCAGCCAAAGACAGGTAAGCTAAGAGCTTCCTGAAAGTTCATCCTCAAATTGGACTATTCATAAGGAATACAGACAACATTAACTGACTCTCAAAGTAGGTCTATATTAGTTTGACCAGACATAACAATGTGATAAAAGATGAGACAAATGGAAAATCTAAATGATTGTGTCCTTGTTGAGTGGTCTATTAAGGTAGTACTAGTCCACTTTTGGACTATATCAAGTCCATCAATCAGCTTGTCAAATAATGTCCATTAGTCGACTGTTTTTGTTGGTGATGTGCCTGCAACATTGTCAAAAGTCATGTAAAGTGATCTGATACTTATTTTACTCTGACAGTGTATTGTCATATGTATCTTGTGAACCAAATTCTGTTATAGCGTGTTGGCAGTATACATGCCAGTCAATGTGTATGTTACCTTGATTACCATTCTGGGCATGTTAGTCATGATTTTGATATCTAATTTGTTTATTGTCCTTGCAGGCATGGGAGAAGGCCAAGCTGACATCAGTCATGCCACAGGTAATCTCCTGTACAATATTTTGTATCAGATTCATGGATGAATAGCAGCAGTTAACATTTGACTTGTAGTTTGTCATCAATGAGTAGACAAGACAAGAATTTGACCCCAGGATCTCTTGCTTGTTGTAAGGTGTTAGTAAGTGAATCTGTCGTCAGAATCTTTGATTATGCAGATTTGGAGTCAAAGTCTGTAACTTTGGCCACAAGCCTTAAGCCTTAGTCCAGTGAAATGCTGTTTGGTCTAGTGTGCTCAGCTAGTGAAATTCCATAAGATAACATTAAAATGTACAGAAAAGTAGCCTAGTAGACTTGCATTGTTGTGTCATAAGCTGGTGTCCTTGATGTTTCTACAATGTCAATCATCACTCATCATTCATTGTTTTCTGATTGCTGCCTCAGTGTGCTGTGCTATCACAGGAATATATCTCACTCATGGTAGGGTTATATGACTGTTATTGCAGAGTCCATGGATGACTGTGGAGTACGGTTCCTGCTGGCTATGCGGCATCACATCTACCTCCTGGGTACACTGCCACCCCTCCAGAAGCTGGCCCTGCAGAGACAGGGACTCAAGTCCTTCCAGCTGGTCTGGGCATTCCATTCTGAAGCTACTGAGGTAGGAGGGCCTGCACGCTTTTTGTTGTTTGTATCAGACATCATGCTAACCTGTTTGATATCTTTTTGCACTGCATGCAGTTAAGGCAGTTTCATTATTCTAAAGCCATGCCTGCTTTATAGAACAGTGAACAGATTCTGTGAACAATGAACACATTGAATCATAAAATGAAATAGCTTGAATCAAGAAGTGAAACAGCTTGAATCAAGAGACAAAACATGTTGAATGGAGGGGTGAACTGAATCCAGTTGACTTGGAAGTTTCAATCATTGGCTTTACATTTTCTTGGAGTGACAGAAAGCTGCTGTACTTTGTTAAATTACATCTTTTTGATGCTGCTTTCCATAGTTACCTGACATCTGTGTGATTCAAGGAGCTGATGTCCTTTGTTAAGTGACATTTGTGTAATTCTTGGAGTTGCTCTCCTTTGTTAAGTGATGTCTGTTTGATTCCAGGAGCTGCTATCCTTCATCCCCAGCATGCAGAAGGGGGAGCCAACATGGGAGGAGCTGAAACAGTTCGGTGCCGGATGGTGGATCACCAACATCAGCCAGCTCAAGAAGTGTATTGAGAAGGTACACTATCATGCAATAGCTTCACCTGTGAAGATCTTGGTTAGAATTGATCTTCAGTAACCCATGCTTGTCGTAAGAGGTGAATAACGGGATCAGGTGGTCAGGCTCACTGACTTGGTTGACACAATCATGTCATCACATCCCAATTGCTTAGATCGATGCCCATGCTGCTCTCACTGGATTGTCTGGTCCAGACTTTATTAATTACAGACCGATGCCATATTGCTGGAATATTGCTGAGTGCTGCGTAAAACTAAACTCACTCACTTACAATAGCTTCACACATCTTTGAAACAGTCTCCAATTTGTCAGTCCGCTGTTGAAAAGGTCGTTATTTTCAATCTGCCTTGATTTGATAAAATGCCCTGAAAAGAACTTGAGGTTGGTAACTATTTAAAACACTGCTTTTGCATGAATGCTTTACTATTATTTTCTTCTCCAATAACGTAAGAGGACAGCATGTTTAAGATAAGTCTGCTACTGGATTGATAAACAATATCGAAACACTTGGTTGGGTCTAGATGTACAACTGGAATCATTCTGAGAATGCAATAGAAACATTTCCTGATAAATCGGGATTTTAAATACATATGCAGTTTCACTATTAGCTTTGGAGATGCCTTGAATTTGATGGCTCAAAAGTTTGCATCAAACAATGCAGAGATTTGATCTGTGACCTCTATAACCTGATACCTCTCTGAAGACAACATGATAGTACAGATATTAGACGAAAGTAATTTATTGATGTTTTAGGTATTTATCATACAATTAATGATTTGTAAGCGAGGAAGTAGTAATTGGTAGACTGATACATGCATGGTTTCTTGTAAATGTGTGTGGATGTATTTGTTTCATGAACTGGAAGTAGTTGGATGTGTTTTTTGCCTTCAGGTTGCAAAAGCTGCCTTCCAGGCAAAGAAGGACCCTCTGGATGCCGCCATTTTCTTCCTGGCAATGAAGAAGAAGAATGTCTTGTGGGGACTGTACAGGTACAGCGCTTACTTGAGCAACAGTGAACTTCCTTTATGTGCTGATCTTGAACAATACTAACAGTGTATTGCAAATAAAAGTTTACATCATAACAGATCAGTACACTTAATGATATCCCATGTGGATTCAAGGGAATTCATGTTGTACCTTGGGTGGGGTGGATCATCGTTATTTTACCAACTGCCGATCTGCTTGCCCACTCTGTTTGTCTTTATGATTATGATGCCACATTTTAGCTGGGATATTGTTGACTGTGCATCACGTTATATCTTGGGTGGTGTGGATCATAGTGCTGTTATCAACTGCCTGTCTGCTTGCCTGCTCTGTCTGTCATTATCATTATGATCTGGTCCAATTGCTGGCTTATCCAACATTCAGACACTCAGATAAAGATCTCAAACACTGTTATAAATGTTTGTGTATTTGTTTGTCTCAGATCGGTGAGTGACAAGAAGATGCAGACGTTCTTCAAGAACGACTTCACACAGGATAGATGGAGAAAGGCAGCACTGAAGAACGCCTTTGCTCTCTTGGGTCGCCAGATGTTCCAGCAGGCAGCAGGCTTCTTCTTGCTGGCGGGATCACTCAAAGATGCCATTGAGGTGAAGGAATCATTCGGGGTTCAGTGGGGTGTGACTATATAATCGCAGATCTTGGTTCCGAGGCATGAGGTCCTCACTAAATATTTTTAGTCAAAGAATGTGTATGTCATTGTTTTCTAAAGCAAACTCTTTCAATGATTGTTTGAATTTGCTGATGAAGGAAAGTGGCTGGTACTACTCAAGATGACTCTGAGGTGAAAGAATCACTTGGGATTGAGTGGGTTGTGACTATAAAATGACAGATACTGGTTTCCAGGCAAGAGTTCCTCAGCAAATTCTTTTCTCGAAGAATATGTATGTCATTTCTTTTTAAAGCAAATACACTCATTCAATGATTTTTGGCAAGTCAGATTATTTGAATTAGCTGATGAAATGAAAAGTGGAATTAGAAGAATCTGGTTTTAGCATCTATCACAAGTTCTTTTGTCTGAAAACCAGTTGTTTTTTTCAGTGTTATATCTTGATCCAGACTTGACTGTTTAGGAGTTACCTTTGTGTAGCTTAGATATTGCGAAGTGCGACACAAAATCAGAAAGTTTGTTCAACATTGTTTCATGTTTCAGGTATGCCTGGAGAAGCTCCATGACATCCAACTGGCTCTTGTCATCAGCCATCTGTATGATGGAGAGGACATGATGTCGGACAGTGCCAAAAAGATCATATATGAAAACATCCTAGGCTGTGATGAGAAGGGCTTGAGCTGTGACAGCCTCAAAGCTCATCCAGATCCTTTCCTCAGGAGTATGTCTTTATGGATGCTGAAAGACTACAAAGGAGCCCTTCAGACTCTGATGGAAGTCAACATTGGACGGCCACAAATGGATCATGAACAGTTTGATTTGGACTCATCCACAGTTACTCCAAATGTGTTTAACTTCTATAACTATCTCAGGACTCATCCCCTGCTTCTGAGACAGAGACTGGCATGTGCGTCATTAGGTCGACGAAAAACGGTGATGACGGGTTTCACTCGGGCCGAGAGTGTAGCTGTGCAGGACAACAGCATCACAACCATTGACCGGGTCACACCAACAGAGAGGAGGCTGTTCTTCTCAACAGCCCATGCTCACTTCAAGAATGGCTGCCCCCTGATGGCCTTGGAGGTTTTGTCTCGGTTACCTCCAATGGTTGAAGATGCAGAGGAGGGCAAGAAAATGTACTCCTTAGACAAGCACAGGAATCCATCAAATGTGAGCTGTATCAGTACTGGGACTTTGTCAGAGCTGGATGAATCCAGCACTGGTATGAATGACTGGAGCACGCCCATCTCTGGTAACCTGAAAACTATGAACAAAGATATGAATGGACCATTGACAAATGGCAAATCTGATACTGCTGACAATATGGACTGGGGTACACCTGTGACTTTCAGTATCGGGAATAAAAAGGCCAATGACATGGATTGGGGAACTCCGTCATTTGGTGTCAGATTTGATGATGATATAGATAGTGAACTGGCTATGATAGGACAAGCATCAGAAGAAGAGGAAGAAGACGAGCCCTACATTGAGCCCAAGACAGTGTTCAATAATAGTGGGAATGTGCCACAGAGTGAAACCAATGACAGTTCCGCGCCAACAGAGTCCACCCCTCAGAAGCTGGACATTATGGCCCAACAGTATAAGTTCATTGCTTGTCTCAAAGTGTTGATGGAGGAACTTGGAACTCTGGCAACCGGGTTTGAGGTTGATGGTGGCCAACTGCGCTACCAGCTCTATATATGGCTGGAGAAAGAAGCCGAGGTCCTCCGAGTCCTCTGCAACTATGGTCAGCAGGAGGAAGAACTGCCAGAAAGTAAGACATACTTATGGAGAGCTTGTTTCAGGGGAATGGGTTGATTAGCAGTCTTAATTAATCTCTGCAACTGGCTATGCAGAGCAGCATCTCTTGGCCATACCAAGACCTGCTGAATGTGGGTTTAAATCCTATAATTACTCCAAATTTTAATCTTTCCTCTGCCGGTGCTATCTGTCACCTCAATTTTGAGTAATGCCTTACTATAATACTTACCTGGGCAGTCAACAACTTTAACCACTTGTCTGAAGCTAGAGTGAAGTAAGTTTCTGTTTGGTATAGTAACTTCAGCTAATAAAAGTGCATAGATAATACCATTAACAAAACATAATGCCATGAACCAAGTTTGGGATAGCAAAACCAAAATCAACTAAAATCAAATAAAAAGGAGTTTTAAGCCCAACCCATTTACGAGAGAACTTCTCTTTTCATATAAACATAGCAGATTTTGTTACTGTAATTTTCAACTTAATTGTAAAAAGAACATTTCTATATGATTCTGAATCTTGAACTGAAAGATATGTATGAACCTGTTTTCTATATCTTTAAGCCAACATGGATGCTAGTAGAGATTCTGATGAGTTCCTGGATGTGCCCAAGTTTGGTCGATCATTGTCGGTAAAGTCTGACACGTCTGCAAGCAAAGCATCTCTACATGAAGTCATAATCGCCGACAAACTGGATCTGGAAGCCAAGATGGAAAGAATGGCACGAAGGAAACAGTGGTTGAAAAACAACCAGCAGCTTCTGAGGACTCTTCTCAGTTACTGTGTCCTGCAGGGCTCGGGGGGTTGGGGACTGGCTTCTGTGAGGATGGAGCTGTTGCTGCTGCTGCAGGAGCTCCAGCAGGAGAAGCCCCAGCAGCAGCTTCTTTCCCCGCTCCCCTTCCCGACCACCCTGCCCCTCCTGTCAGCCAGTATAGCCAGCTCAAAGACTGTGGTGGCTGATCCAATCCATTACCTGCAGTGCTTGTCCCAAGACATCCTACACACCATCATAGAAATCCCCATCCCACCCAGTCTGGGGACAGATGTTGGAAATGTGTTCTTGTTAAGAAACCTTGCAGTTGCATTGTCCTCATGTATATACCAGTGTCTCTGTGATAGTGACAGCTTTGTTGTGTCCCTCAATGATGAAGATGTTGGACTCGAAGGTTTTACGGGGTAGGTTATGACAAATTATGCTGATTAAGTAGTTAGTGCTGTTGGAGCATGGGTGGCACAGTTGTGTCAGGTGCAGCAAGTCCAAATTGCTTCCCATGGGCATGTCAGACCATTTGGTCAAATCCCACATTTGCTCTGATTATGTTTCTTGGCACTCGCTTTGTGGCTTTACAAAGGTGATTGATGTCCATCAACCCTTGAAAATGCGGGTTAGGATTGGTCTTCAGTAACCCATGCTTGTCGTAAAAGGCAACTAATGAGAAGGGGCTGTCAGGCTCGCTGACTTGCTTAACATGTCATTGTGTCAGAGTGGCGGGAATTGATGCTCATGATGTCAATCTCTGGATTGTCTGGTCTAGACTCGATTAGTTACAGACCGTCGCCATATAGCTGGAGTATTGCTGAGTATTCTTACCCAACATATCCACAGATTTAAAAAGTAGAGTACAAAGTGGAAGGATTTTGTAGTTTTTGTAATACACTGAATGTCTGTCCCTACTTGCATTGCAGTCCAAACTTTGTGTGCCAAGCAAGCTACTTGATGGCTGGGGTGAGACGGCAGCGCCATCGAGGAATCGGCTCAGGGGATGCGGTTATCAACTCACAGCCATCAAAGTGGCCAGGTGAGATCAGTGGGAAACTGCAGTCAAAAGATTTGCTATCGTGCCATTGTAAAAAATGACATATCGAAAACTGAGAGATGGTCCTTGGCTAATGATGGTTAAATGATGTCAACTAGTGATTGTGATGATTCAGTTAGCGGACAGGAAATGTAGCTGTTGAAAGACATATCAAACTTGGAGTGCCTACTGGCCCCAGCTTTTCATACCGCAAACATGATTGACTGTAAGACACTGGTAGACTTGGAATTGAGGAGACTAATTGTGTTCTAAACCTTCATACCTTTTCACAGGAGTGACATCTCTCCGAGTGTTGCTTGCAAGAGAAAAAGACGAAGATGCCCCGAAACTGAACATCCTTCTGTGCGAGTCCTTGTTGTCTGTGTATGTGAGCATGTTGATCAATGGCTTGGCTACGTACGACCCACTCATGCTGTACCGCCTGGCTGCCCATGTGTTTGACCAGCAGACGTGGTCAGCGTTGTTTGGAGGGGGAGTGAAGACTGTCATGAGATCCAACAATAATCCACCAAACCGTAAGTCACTGTTGTTTTGTTGTTTGGTTAAAAAAGCAACAACAGTGTAGGGACTATGACTAAATTGGATAAAGAATTTAATTGAGAAACATTATTTTTAAGGTATTTTCATAAAAGTAATGATATCTGTGAAGGTTTGGGTTAGAATATTGATCTTCGGGAACCGTGCTTGTCGTAAGAGGCGGATAACGGGATCGGGTGGTCAGGCTCGCTGACTTGGTTGACACATGTCATCGGTTCCCAATTGTGCATATCGATGCCCATGCTGTTGATCACTGGATTGTCTGGTCCAGACTCGATTAATTACAGACTGCTTCCATATAGCTGGAATATTGCTGAGTGCGGCATAAAACTAAACCCACTCACTCATAAAAGTAATGAGGATCAGGTGAAGTGAAGAGAAACATTTGACAATAACAAAATTGAGGAAACACTGTGTTCAGTTTCTTTCCTGTTTGGTATATACAGATTATTACATAGTACACAATAGTGTGTTTTGGCTTGATAGTAGCAGAGGATATTTTTGTAAGTGGAATTTTAACGTGGACATGCAAAATTTTATATGTATTTTCTGGCACTATATGCAGATTCTTCTGCTGATGACAACGCTAAACAGCGTCATCGGCTAAACATGAAGCTGATAGGACCATCCCCTGGCTTCACTAAACCCTCAGATGTGAGGGAGACATTCCAGGAGAAGTTCCTGCCTCCAGAACTCAGCATGATCACCTACTTCATGACCAAGGTACCTGCAGCTCGGCAGATATTGCCTCTGTGTGAGATTATATATATATCAGTGTATTTTGGCAACAGTTTGCTATCTATCTGATTTGTTATATATCTACCTTTGTATCTTTACTATTACACATGTCTAAGAGTGCATGTTGGAATAATTAGTTTTGTTTTCAGGGCCAGAGATTAAAGTAATTAGTAATATAATCTTACCTCACGCATAAATGTCGTTTTCTGATTGGTTGAGCGCTCTTCTACTATTTTCAATTTACCCCGCTTACAAGTGAGTAACATTTTCAATGTTACCTGCTGGGAATGCCGAATTGTGTTAGTAGTTCTTTATCTTGATTAATTGAGTCACTTATGATGTACAGAAATTACTGATATTTTGCACATGCAAATTGATGGAAGGGAGATAACTCTAAATTTGTTTTTCTTGTCGTCCGCTAGATTCTGTCGTCTGGAAACCTAGTATTAGTTAATTGCCTAATTCTGATACTCCGTCATTATTATCTGACCAGTGAACCGACCTCGTGACCAGTGAACAACTTATAATATAAATACACATACTTGGTGGTGACTAATGTTTCTTATGACTTTTTGTCTTTAATATCAGGAGATACTTCAATAATTCTTCTTCTCATAGTCATTATTGATATATAGTTGGTGTGTACTATCAAAGTTACTGATCAATCTTTCCAGCCATTTGTCCCAAGCTCCGAGTCCATCATCAGCTATGACTCTGAAGACTCCATGTTGTCTGATGTGTCCCGAACAGTGTGACACAGAGGATGAAGATGAGGTGGACAGGCCAAATACACTGTGAGTCACAGCACGTTGTTTGGGACAGGGACTCTGCCCTTCTGGACCTGTAAACCTGGGTTAGAATTGTTCTTCAGTAACCCATGCTTGTCCTAAGAGGCGACTAACGAGATCGGGTGGTCAGGCTCGCTGACTTGGTTGATGCATGTCATTGGTTCCCAATTGTGTAGATTGATGTTCATGCTGTTGATCACTGGATTGTCTGGTCCAGACTCGATTATTTACAGACCACTATGTGGCTTGAATATTGCTGAGTGCGGTGTAAAACTTAACTCACTCACTCTTCCCTTCCGGTGAGAGGTGACAATCAGTGGCCAACCCATTCAGCCTATATGATCTGTTCTGTATTTATGCAGAGAGGTGACATTCAGTGGTTAACACATTGAGCCTATATGACTATATGAGTTGTTCAACTTTGCAGGAACCTGACCACCGTACAGCAACACAGTGACCCCAACTCCTACACGTGGTGTCTGATCCGCTACGCTACAATCCACCTGGTGCTCCACAACCTTCAGCTCTTCTTGCCACAGATCGGGATCGAGCTCCCAGGTGAGTCCAACTGCATCTTACGACAACTTCTCAAGCATCACTCTTTAATGTTAATGATTCATGTGTTAATAATGTAAAGTTACCATGCATGTGTGTGAGGGCACGTGGAAAAAACCACTAATTCTTATTAACTTCTTGGGTTGTTAAATGTTAGGAAAGGAATATTAGGGAGTACACATGACTTACACAGATTCAATGAAATATTATCACGAGTAATACACCTGTAAGCTTTACTGGCAGTGAAACCCTGTTAATCTGGACAATTTCATGTGAAATTATCCTGCTTGACAAAGTCCTGTTTTTACCAATCATGGAGTTATGTCCCTTTATATACAGAACTTCAAGCTCCTCAGCACAACCCTTTCGCTTGTCTCTTGGTTTCATTGCAGCCACCAGTGTGCAAGTGGCAATTACAAGCATTTCAGAAATGTTCCTAACTTAAAACCTAATGACATGTATAGTTTAGTGCACAACTTTGGGAATGTAGTAAATAGTAGGGCTGCAACGAATACACTATGTGCCGAATATGATATTATCATGAATTTTGGGTAACGAATACGATTAATTATTCACGAATACAATATTGTAGTTAAGTGATTGATGTACAATATGGAATACCCATGTTGACAGTTTTGATTTGTCACAGCAATAACCAGTGATCTCATGACACTCAAATTTGGTATGTAACAGTTATAGATGACAGTACCATGTGTGGCCTTGGCAAACTAACATGACTTGCGCTACTGCAGTGATAGTACATATTCAATCCTTGCATATCTCACTTTCCAAAAGTACACAAGGGTTGAAGTAAAACATGCTCCCTTAAAAAAATCGTAAATATACGTTAATATTCGGTTCTGGTGACCATGAATAACGAATTGAATTCATGAAGGGCTACGGTTCGATTCACCGAATATGCGAGTGAATCGTTACAGCCTTAGTAAATAGGGAAATGGTTTGTGATGAATACATTTCCCAGATTTAAATTTGGTAAATCAAATTGGTTTGAAGTTGCAGGCTATGGAAAAATAATAAAGTACCCACCTTTCAGCTTCCATTCACTATACAACATATTGTTGAAATGAAATAGAAATTCGAAATTACAAACTATCCTCCCAAATTAATTTAGGGAACAGTGTATAATAACCAGTTATTTTTAGACAATGTTGTCAGTTGGTTGTCAGTCCAACATCATGTTTGTCTGTTGGCTGCACTGTGGGGAGCTGTAAGGAGGCAACAATAACTAAAAGAGATCAGTGAATGGGCTATCACTGTTTGGAGCTTGACGGACAGAAATTGTCAAGGAAGCAGGGTTTTGGGACTAACTTTATCAGTACTAACCAAACTAACTGGGTTTCACTGTTAATTGATATTGTTGTGTGTGAGTTTATTAGTGCTTAGTGATCCATGTTGCTTGTTTGTGTGCATTTTGCAGCAGTTTTATAACATTTATATCGATATTGCTATGTTTGTTTACTTTTTCTTGATAGATTGTTCTTGCCAAAACCATTATTATGTTGGTAAATAGTTTACCTTGTATATTCTGTCCATTGTCTTGTCACCTTGCTGTTCTCTGTTCACAATGCGTGGAGTGTTGGTAGAAGGCGAGTAACTTTTGCTTGGCAGGTTGAATGACTGCACAATTTTCCTTTAAACAAAGATAGTTTTTCCTCTTTGATACTTCATCTGCAGTTTGTTTGCATAGCTTTTCATACAAGTGATAAAACTAGGGATTGCCATCAAACTTGAAATTAAAGAAATCTACATTAAAATGTAACAAATCTCGTAGGTTTTTCAGAACAAACAGAAAATGTGAATTGATGTTGTTCCTGGTATACATTGCAAATGCGTGAGAAATAATGATTCCAAAACCTGATGTGTAACTACTGATGTACAGAAGAACAGGTAGCTGCAGTATATTTAGGTTTGCGCTGGGAATATCCGGATTAGGATTGGTCTTCAGTTACCCATGCTAGTCGTAAGAGGCAACTTACGGGATCAGCTGGGCAGGCCCGCCGATGCATGTCATTGTATCCCAATTGCATAGATCGATGCTCATGCTGTTGATCACTAGATTGTCTGGTCCAGACTCAATTATTTACGGACCGCCGCCGTATAGCTGGAATACTGCAGAGTGCGGCGTTAAACAGCAAGCCAACCAACCGACAAATATTATGGTTTGAATATGGATATCAGTGCTTAAAATCAAGATGGTTTTGATACTTCTCCTTGTAGTTAATAACCACAATTATCTATTGCTGACCTGTAAAGGGTAGGTTGCCGATCAGGATGCAAACAGTCAGTACCATTGTCTGTCATGGCCCATCTCAGAGTTGGATAATTCATGCATGCTTTCATTAATACAACCAAACAGATAGTAAATAAGGCCAAATTTCTTACCTTTATGTATCTTGATTCATTTGTACTACTGAGAGGGGATATTTCTTTATGAAGAGATGCAAGTTGTTTGGATTTGAACTTCTCTGTGTCCATGTTTCCATGCTACCTCATGCGAAGTGAAATGAAATCAAAGAATAAGCAGTTTTCAAGTGTATTGTTGTGTTTTGTTGGACAAGAAGTAACGAAGAGTCTTCAATCATATGTCTTGCCCTTTTGTGTCAAATCTTCATATTCTTTGTAATTGTCTTGATAGTTTGAAAGGAATCTTAAAGGGACCTACCCATCCCTGAAATTGAAAAGTACTGTTCATTTAGGTAGCTGATAAAGAACACAAATAAATGTATCCTTTAAAAATCCAAATTTGATGATTCGGAGGACTCTGCTCCTTTGTTTATGTAATAAAAAAGACAGAATTGTCTTAGTTTAGTTTTCGTAACAAGCTAAAAAGAATTTGAAATCTCTGTCAGTTTCTGTATGTCTTTTGCATTTGATGGCAAAGGTTGATCAATTGGCCTTCTATGATAGGACCTGAGGTGTTCTCACCCAGTAGGTCTTGTAGGACTAGTTGTAGTACCACTGTGAAGTAACAGGAGCTGAGGTCTGTTTGGAACTGAGATACTCCGACCCTGTAGGTAATGTAGGACCAGCTTTAATACCACTGTGAATTGACAGGAACTGAGATACTCCGACCCTGTAGGTATTGTAGGACCAGCTTTAATACCACTGTGAATTGACAGGAGCTGAGGTACTCTGACCCAGTAGGTATTGTAGGACCAGCTTTAATACCACTGTGAATTGACAGGAACTGAGATACTCTGACCCTGTAGGTATTGTAGGTCCAGCTTTAATACTGCTGTCAAGTGATAGGAGCTGAGATCTGTTTGGAGCTGAGGTACTCCGACCCAGTAGGTATTGTAGGTCCAGCTTTAATACTGCTGTCAAGTGATAGGAGCTGAGATCTGTTCTGAGCTGAGGTACTCCGACCCAGTAGGTATTGTAGAACCAGCTTTAATACTGCTGTCAAGTGATAGGAGCTGAGATCTGTTTGGAGCTGAGGTACTCCGACCCAGTAGGTATTGTAGAACCAGCTTTAATACTGCTGTCAAGTGATAGGAGCTGAGATCTGTTTGGAGCTGAGGTACTCCGACCCAGTAGGTATTGTAGAACCAGCTTTAATACCGCTATGCTTTTCCTTACTGTGTTGTAATCAGCTTCTGATGTGTGGACACAGAGTGGTAAGGAAGAGGAAGAGGGAGACTGCCACCGTTGTTGTCACTTTTTGTCGTATAATTCTCTGTTTATTTTTCGAGTTCAGTATGAACTACACTATTTACCTGACACAGGGTTGACAATTTTTATTCAACATTTGTGGTGACGGGTGAATATTAATCCTCAATTCTCAGTGTTTTAATGGTAACCTTTTCCTTGTATTTGGCATTTACCCATTCTCAAGTATGATGCATATAACATCTCTATACTTTTATGATAAATATCATGGAACAATCGCCTACAAAACTTTGTTTCGATGTTGATTCAAAAGACATAATTTTTACAACAGTCTTCTAATTTGATTACTTCAAGATTGAAAAGTTATGTTTGAGGGAGTGAAGGGCAATATGTCTTCCTGAAACAAATCTTTAGTGGCTAATGAGTCCTAGGTATTTATTATAAAGGAACAGAGACTTCATGCCAAGGATACTCGATGGTGTTTACATTTTTTTTTAAACAGAGAACTGTACAACATTGTTAGTGGGACTAGATACTGGAGTTTCAAATGCAAGTTTTCCCATTGTAGTGCTATGAGTCTGCAGTATGATAATACAGCACTATTCTGAAAAATAATTCTCTTACTTCACCAAATCTTGTTTTAGCAGTTTTGTTCTTCAGATTCAAAGAAAATGTATCACTGAAAATGTAATTGTTTTGTGGTTTGAAGAAATCTTTTCACAGATTATTTTCATAACAATGCTAACCTGAGCTTGCATTTGATCTTCACAAGGTGGTATTGCAAAACATGACAGATGAATTTAAAATTCATGTTGTAACTTTGAAGGAGCGGGTTTTTCATTTTGGTGAAAGGTTGCAGATCTCTGATAAACAAGGTTATTCTACAACATAATGATATTACTTAAAACATTACTTCAGATTGGTCTTTTGAATAAACAGGACAATATTATTCCTAAACAAAACCATAACTGGATTTCCTAGGAAGAACAGTATTTAACTGTCCAAAGCATAATTCTTGCAAGTATTGCTTTTTTTATGAACAGCTTGGAACACACTGTACCAAACTGCTACAGCTACTAACGTCATAATCCTAAAGGGCCTGTAGCTTAATTGCTTGTTTCTTTGTCTTCATTCATACTAATAATTGTGAGTGTTCCTGGTATGCATTAACACCCCTTGTTTGAATGGCCTCGGTAGAAAGAATAATCCTCTTGATGCTTCTTCAGATTGCTCTGTCATGAAGGAGGGACGATGTGGATCTCCTTTCTTGCCTTTCTGTGTTGGACTAGAACTAGATGATAGACTCACTCACTTTTCAGTCATGAACACTCATGCTGGGGTTGACCTAGCCTTACTGTTTAAAGCTGCGGTCACATCTTACGGTCATGAACGTAGTTGATTGGACTTATCTGAACGTAGTTCACCATAGAGCCACTACGGTGAACTAGATGGAAGTAGGGTGAAGTAGGTTGGAAGTAGTAGTAAACCGTAGTTTTATCATAGTGCCATGTTACCATGGTGTACTTTGGTTAACACAACGGTGCATTAGGGTCAATTACGGTCTACTCAACCACATTCAAACTAAGGTAACAGTAGGGTCTTGGCCTTCAAGCTAACTGTACAGATATGTTGAACATGTTGAAAATCTTTTGGTCTAACCATGGCCAAATAATGGGTTTGCTGAAGTTCAAAGTGCGGTCATAACTACGGTGATCTACATTGAACTATGCTTAAATAAGGTCAAATACTACGTTCATCCGCCACTATGGTCAACTACGTGCCGCCCGCCGGGACAAGTCAGTTTTCATTTCGGGCAATCAAATAATGGTATCTTACTTGTCCGTTGGCTACTAGATAATTTCCACTTATGGTTTCAAACTGCAAATAATCTTTGATTTAATTTCATATCTGCTCAAAATGTAGCTATTAAATTTCGCAATGATAATAAAGTAGAGTTATCTTTCTTTGCTATTTATCACTTTTCAATAAATAGTCCAGTAAACATTAACATCAAATACCATGTTGATTTCTTCTTTCATAATTCCGGGTTCGATTCCCCACATGGGCACAATGTGTTAAGCCCATTTCTGGTGTCCCCCGCCGTGATATTGCTGGAATATTGCTAAAAGCGGCGAAAACTAAACTCAGTCAGTCAGTCAGTCTTTCATAATTACATCATCATATATACAGTATAGTTATTTTTATAAAATCAGGACAAGTGGAAAATTAGTCAGGACAAGTTACTTTCTTAAAGTCACTTGCCCTGTGGCAAGTGGCTTTTTTAAAAAAAATTGAACCCCTGGTGCCTGTCTGTAAGATGTAACCACCGCTTAAGAGTCCTGAGGGCTCTCAGTCCAATTTCTTGGGGTCCTCAGCATGACAGTGGGGGTCCTGGGCTTACTGCTCTACCAACAGTGAACTAAATACAGACCATTTGTGAAGTAGGACACTAACTTCACTTTTCAAACTTAGTGATCGTGTGAAGAAAATTGGACATGGACATAAACTTTAAATATACATGTACTGAGATGGCTAAATTTATTTTTTTAATGATTCAAACAAACCTACTTTTTGTCCTCCAAAAGTCACACAGTGCCCCAAAATGCCTCTGTCTACGATGCACTATTTTGTATCAAGTAAAATCTTGACCATGGTTCCTTGGATGTAACCAATATTGTCCAACAAACTTTTTATGTGAACAAGTCGAGGTCTTATTCTGTAATTCTGAGGGTAAAAGCCAATCTGGTCTTGCAGGAATTTCAGAAAACTTCACCAAATGTGTTGTGATGGTTGATCTGGTATAAGATCACCAGGCCAAACAAACGTTTCATAAAATCTTTATGGCTATTTAAAATAGTTCAATGTTATAAACAAAAAGTATTAAACATAATTGTTCACGAAGTCCTAAGGTAACCAGCCATATTTCTTGTACATATCTGTTACACACAGTTTAACCTAGTGCATAGTACTGTTATCTGAAGTGTCCTATTCTTGAGGAGGTTTCTTGTTTGATGACATATAATAATGGTTCAAAAACATTTTAGTCAGCTGGAAAGAGACATAGCTCTCAGCATCATTTTCAGTACATTAGTATTTTTTTCTCTGTGTTCACTAGATTCAACACAGATTTACTATCCTCTGGTGTTGGTCAAGTGGCTATAGTCACAGACAGGATTGTTGAACGGACATTTTAATAGGATGGTTATTAAGCTTGATATTTTTTAAATGATTTTTGTAATGGAAATTTGTGTATTTGTTTTGCTGAGGGTTTGGAAGTGCACATGCATTAATGCACAAATAATATAGTGCACATGTCGTATTTAGTATGCTACACCTCATCACTGGAAGAGGGCATGCAAATGTGTACCCAATAATCTGTAACATATCGTGATTTCAGAAATATATTGATTTCAAAATATCTCATGTTCTAAATGTTGATGTAATACCAATTGTTTAAATCCCTTGCAACTTAATCTTTGCATCTGAATTATATTTATGAAAATATTGTCATCACTTTTTCTCTACCAAGCCTCTTTTGTTTTTTTCTTTATTCAGTCTTCAGTTTCCTGTATCTAAGATCCTTGATAGATCCAAATATACAGTAGAATCATAGCATGTAAATTGGTGACATTTGGGCTGCAGAAGTGATTAAAAGAGTTATTCTGTGATAAATATGTATAATAAGTTAAAGTTGCATGTAATAATATGATCAAAGGTAATGCTTCACAGCATTCTTGTGTTAGGATTAACAAGTGATATGTAGGAATAGCAAAATCTCATATCAATCTTTCCCCAGATCGTTGTTGTCAGACCTGGAGGTTTAAAGTAAAATTCCTCTGTTTTCTTTGACATGTTTTAACTTGTTAATCTGTGACGAGACACTCAGATGTCTGTGAGATCATGTATTGTTTAGTTTTGTGCATTGAAAACTAAACAGAATTTAACATTAGCACTATTGATGTTCTGCTTTCAGAATTTTAGTAAAAGAATTATCTTTCCGTGTCGAAACTTTGTTGCAATGACTGCAGTTTGGCAGTGGGAATTTGAGTACATTTCCTGCTCACATAAATAAAAAAAATAGCTAAAAAGCCAGATGATCTTGACAAAGAGCTTCTGATGAGAGCCATTATTTGTGTTTCATGGCCTTACTGTGCTGGACTTGAATGTGGCCATGTTGTTGTCCACAGAGTTGCCCAACTGCTCCCCGCTTCTCCATGCTGTCATGAAGACCCTGGAACAGTGGGATGAGTTCCTCTTGGGCCGCCTCGAGTTGTTCTCAGGGCCCCCTGACAACTACATCCCCGGCCTCTACCTGGACGTCATCGGTGGAGTGCCGCACTCCAAGGTCCAGGCACTCCTTGACCCTGCCAACACTCCCTTTGTGTATGTATCATTCACTGACACTCTTACTTGTTCTTACTCATTGGCTTGTTCCCTTGATTTGAATTTCCTTAAGCGATTGAATGTCACCAGAATAGGATGAGTACAGGGTTTGAAGTTAACATCAGTTACTTGGTCAGAGACTTGAAAAAGATATCAAGACTGGCAAGTAATATTTCTGTATGCATTACCACTTTTACTGTTTGGTTTATGGAAACTCTGCTTCAGATCATTTTGTATACAAAAAATTAATATAATAATTTTGTAACCAGGGATAATGTAATGCTTTGAAGATCAATCAGTTTGTGTTTTGGATAGCATAACCATGAGATGTTTATGATGCTGATGGACCAAGGATCCAAGCACTTTTTTATTGAGATCCATGACCAGAGTATCCTTGCAAAGCTAAGGACTGCAACTCTGTACAGGCAATTGCTGTGCCCCAAGACCACACAGACTTGTATGAGGGCAGTAGGGTTAGCCAAGTGGAACAGCCTCCCTTTCTTGTGAAAGACCTGGATCAGATTCGCTTTCATGGCTTTACAGATATTGTAACACAATGAAAGATATGAACTGGATAATAACTCCCACGTAACTAAACTGAAATTTGTACATTTCTCCTGGAAGTTACTTAATGTTTAAGATTTTTACAGTAATATGACTGATTGATAACTTTCTGTTTATTTCTGTCCCTGTTGCAGTGCCGGACCGGCAACTCTGCCAATAAAGCGGCTTTGGTTCCAGTTGGTGAGGCAAGACTACTTAAAGGATATCTTCCTCCGTTACATCTACCGCAGGAAGAAGAATATTGTCGACAGTGAAGTGGTAGGTTTGGGATTGTAATTGCCATCTACTCTGGCAGAACTTAATATGTTCCATCTTCAGGTGTCTTGTTGACTTATGTGACTTATCTCTGGCAGACCTATTAACTTTTCAATTATAATTTCTAGCTATCTTTAATGAATGTAATTTTTTATATACTTCATATTTCCATTAACGACAAGATCTACCTTAAGCTTGACAGATTTCCACCTTTTTTCTAAGTAAATTCATTTTAGTTGAACTTGATTTGTGTGAAGTGTAGATTTGGTCTACCTATATGTTTAGAGGGAAATATTCAAAATGTACATAATGTTTGCAGCATACCATTGGGAGATAATATGAGGCAGATGCTAAAATCACAACTTTTTGGACTGATTTACATAAGAAATGTGTTAAAACTTTGCTTGGCCAGCATGTGTTGAAAAGTAAACAGACATTATAAATTTATGTAATCACTGCAGCTAAATAAGAACTGAATTCTGTAACCATTACATGGTTTTATTGATTGTACATATTCATACATGGCCTAACTGAGCGGAGTTGCCTCCCTTAGTGAAAAGGATCCAAGGTCTGCATCACTTCAGGCTGTCTTACCACATTAAACTGACATGCTATGATATTGAAATACTGTTAAAAGATGCTTATCTTGTGGAGATTCTGCAGTAATCTCTGCTGATCATTAGAGGTGACCAAATAGACCAAAGCTATCCTAGCACTACGACTGTCGTATCTCCCATACTATAACAAAGAATTACGACAGTCGTAGCGCTAGGATAGCTTTGTGAAGCAGGACCCTAGTGGCCTACATTGGTGACTTGGTTGATTGCACCCCAACAGCCTGGATCGTTGCTCCCAATATTGATCACTGGATTGTCTGGTTCAGAGTCATTTCTGTACAGACTGCTGTCATATTGCTGAAATATTGCTCATATATTGGGTCGTTACACAACAATCAAACAAACAATTAGAGGAGCTTAAAACACTACATACAACTCAGGCAGTGTCTTTCCTATTATCAGGATTCCATGAGAACAACCAGCACAGAACAAAACGACACCTTGAGGGCTCCAGACCCCATGAAGATCATACACAAGGAACAGGACATCATCACAGCATTTGCCAATAACCAGGTAACTGTGTTCACTTAACACACGGCACAGCTCAAGAGATGAATACTGACTTACTAAAATTCAGTTTTGTTATAAGGGTTATGCTCCTCGTTTCATTGTTGTGTTTGAAGGTAAATTTGTTGTCGGTTTTCCTTAGGTATGTTTTCTCTTTTTAGTTACAATATGAACATTTTCAACATTGATCATTTACTTGCTGTATTACAGCTCTAGGTTGAAATGGGAACCACATGTTGACGTTAACAAAATTAAATGTCAAGTCTTGGTTTGTGTTAAACATTTTGGAGAGGTTTGTGATTGCAATGAAGGGAAATGAAGAAATTGTTTTCAAAGCAAAGTACTGGTCACCATATGCTCCAGATGAAGACATCCTTTTACAATATATGATAACATTGTCCTTGATGGAAGAGGTGAACCATCTATGGTGGCCTTATATGATGTCCAGGTTCATTCTTCTCCCGTTTCTGCCCCAAATCTTCTCCTTCACATATAATAGTTTAGTTGACAAAGTAAACTTCATGTGGCCTTCATGTGTCAAAATCAGTATTTGAAATAATCAGTTCCTACTTTTGTATCCTTACCATCATAATTCCTTTCGCAGTGGTACAGTTGTTTGTGAAAGTTTAAGAGATCTTTGTTATGATTTGAAACCTCTGATTAACCACACTGATTGAAGTATACATTGATTCTGCAGTGCCTTTCCTGCATACGATTCTTTAACTTGATCCTGATTTGTTCATTTGAAGAATTTACTTTTATGGTTAATACTATCATAACCTATTATTATTATTATTTGAGCTTGCAAAATATACATGTTGTCTTTTCTATATTTCTTAAATTTCTTATTTTAGAGGGATGGATCTTTACTTCAGTTTGTTTTTAAATCCATTTCTAAAGTATACCCTACAGGTTATTTCATTTTTTTAAATTCCTTTTTAACTTGAAACAACCCAGAAAAAGTATGTAGAATCAGCAATTTTGTTTGAATGTTTTTTAAGATGTTACAGAGTAATAATACATAATAATTACCTGTATTGCATATTCTTTCTCAGAAATTGAATGACCTCCTGTGATTCACTGGTCCAATTTGCCATGGTATTGCGTCGCTATTTCCATCAGATACAGACTATCACTCATGTTACGACTTCCAAGTTAATTCTCGTTAATGTCAAAACAACTAACCATGCTCTTTTGTAGAATACCCAGACGTAAAATGGGTCATTAAAGACGAATCGTGAATTATTTGTTTGGAACTTTAACCCATTTCCGATTTCTTGTAGAGATGCTTTGATTGTTTTGTGTATGTGTAGGGTAAACCTGTGTACCCAGTGGGCCTAGAGTCATGCACTAGGGTTATAGTAAGTACGCTAGTCTCAGTTCCTCCCTGGTTGTTTGTGTAGAGTTCTTCCGGCTGGGCAATCTATCCGGGATTCGGGGGCTCTACCAGGAATTCTTTGACATTGGTCAGTAGGAATGATCTCCCCTTGCTAACCTTTAGCACTTGCAGTAATGTAAGACAGTTTTAATCATTTTAATCCATTTGATTTCCTCTCTGTGTCACTAACACCTTTTTTGTATTTATTTTGTTGTGGTAGTAGCCAGTTGCTTTGGATGTACGTCTCATATATTATAGATTGCAGATTGCAGAAGTTAGCCTTCACAGCAAGATGTTGACATGCTGAAGTGTTCAATATTTTTTCTTGGTTTTATTTCCATAAATCATTGTTTTTTCCCCCTGCATGTTTGTGTGTCACTTATGTAATATAAACTCTGAATTTGGTGTCAGTGCATGACTTGTTTGTTGTGGGCTACTTCCCATGATCCTTATCTGACATCATATATGTAAGGTAAGATGTAGTCCCAGATCCACAGATAAATCGTGCCTAGTTACCTCCCTTAGCCTTGCCAGGATCTGCTGTTCGTGGATTCAATTCCCAGATTTCATCTGTTAGTGCCTTATCCGACCTAGTGGAAACGTCAAGAATCTGTCTCTTTCACCAACATTATGTGATATAATTGAACTATGTTGTGTTAGGGTAACTGAATGACTTATTGCATGAGTTATCTACCTTTGCTATGTACTATCTACATTTGATACTTCAGTTCAGTTTGTTTAGTTGATTGCAATGAAATCACGATCCTGCTTTTTCAGCTTGCTGTACTGACAATATAGATGGTCTCGTGTTATTTCTTGCTGCTGCTTCAGGATGCTCAGTAGTTGGACACAGATGTGTTAGCGTCAGAATGAAAACTATCTCTTATGTTTTGCTGATAAACATGGTACTTTGAATTCACCTAACATTATATCCTGGGAGAGGTATACCATACAGAAACATTCAGGTGGAAATATTAATATAGGGTCCAATGGTAACATGCTTCTAGGATCAAAAGACATTCCCTCACTGATGATGAACTAATTTAGACTTCAACTTGGTTTTTGAATCTCAATTGTGGAAAAATTTCCCTTTTTAGGGTGATATATTTTGCAGTGTTATCAGTATGTGTACTTTGAAAGTTCTTTGAATGGAAGATTTTTTATTGCTGCTGTGTATATATATATACTAGTATATACGTATGTGTGTGTGAGTGTATATACAGTTAAATCCCGATGAGTCGAATGCCGGTGTCTCGAATATTATGCATAACTCGAAGTACCTGTCGGTCCCGACCATTCCCTGTTATAGTTGTCATCATTTGAATACCGGTTACACGTATTCGTCTCATAAATACACACGATGACTCGAGAAGAAAATTTGGTCCCATGAGATTTAAACAACAGCAATCTTGTATACATAAGCCGAAGTCAGTCAATGAGAAGTTGATTGGTTTAGCAAACTGATCCAATTAACAAACCAGCGCGGCTCACACCTTTCCGCCTTAACAGGTGAGTTCAAAAGTCAGATTAATGATTTTACGGAAATCACTGTCTGTGCTCCTATTAGTGATAGGGAAATCGTTAGATAAACAAATGCTTTGGCGGAGGAATTAGGACTGGATCATCTTTTTTTTCTATCCTCATAGACATACCTATGTCTCGAATACATCGATAAGTCGAATTTATTACTTGGTCCCCAGAGATTCGACTCATTGGGGTTTGACTGTATATATATCTAGCTTGCATCTGCAATGTGATTTAGTCAGTTCACGTTTTAATCTGATCTAAATTAGATTGAGAGCTTACAATGCATTTTGCACCATACCAAATAAAGGTCTGTTAACCATGATTAGTGTTGTTAGGAATACCTCATGTCTTGTATTTTTATTATCTAATGGCATTAATATACTGATGCACTGTTGGCTTCTTAAAAAATATTATCGATGTTGCTTACTGTTATGGCTTATCTTACCATAATGTTTGTATATGGTAATAAGTGGTCCATAGGTTTAGCAATCATTTAATGCTAAAGAAATTAAAGACTAACTAATATACTACCCATCAAAAGTTTACACTCACTATATGTTATGTATATATATGTGGTTACATCGAAGATGAATTTCTCCACTAACTTAGGGGAACCAACTGCAAACCTTATGCAGATGAATTGCACGAGGATCATGCATCAAATTGCTGTAAAGCATGTGCAAATATCGTACATGTGAACAGCTGCGTTTTTGTTAAAGTTTTCTTAAGAATTCACAAATTTTCACTGATTTTCATCATTTACTGAACTCATGACAATAATCTTTTTAATGTTACGAATTTGTTTTACAATACATAAGTTCATGTGTAAACAGTACCTTTAAACAGTGTGGAATATTTTGCAAAATCTAGTTTAGAGCAGTTGACTGAAGTAAGTGGCTACATTTACACCAGTGAGTCTAAACTTTTGATGGGTAGTATATGTAACCTTGCCTGTATTTATGCAGTGATAATACTTCAGGTTATGTCGCAATGTCGTAGAATAATCAGAATCATGATGTAATGATAATCATCAATCTGTCTGGAGGGAACTCAGTAACAAAACCGGAGAGGGATGTTTAGCCATGTAGTTCAAGCGTAAACTTGTCATCCTAAAGATCCAAGCTCGCATCAACATGTGGGTACTTGTTAGAAGCCTATTCATGGTGTCTTGGTGTGTCTCTCATTTCTTAAAGAGGCTTTACTCCAGAAATAAAGAAACAGGGCCCTGATTCACAAAGTGTTTGTAGCATTTGCTTTGTTGTAACTGAATAGTTTATCATTGGCTTACAAATATCGCAGTGCAATAACGCTCCATGGATCGGGCCACAGATGAGCTGTAGTGTTCATCTGATCCAATCTTGCTTGGCCTACAGACTGATCTGAGTCAAGTTAGCCCCACATTAAGATATAACAGTGTTAGTATAATTATAATACTTGTGCTAGAGTCAGGTTTGGATGTTACAAAGTTATATATTCATGTGGGACAATTACAGGGATCCATGAGTTTCGAAATCTATGATGTCAGCCGTTCTTCCATCTCTTGAATTTACAACTGGACAATTTCCAAAATGTGTTCAAAGACCACGTTTCCACATACTGGTATTTTATACATACTCCAGCATCATTTGAGGTTTTTCTTTGGTTAGATAATTAATGAATTATAAAGTACTAAAAATTACCAAATTATGATAAAATGAAAGATCTACTTGACATTTCATCGTCACATTATATGTTTGAACACTTGCTTCTTTTTTTTTTAATTCAGTGGCCTGTTCTGAACATGTAGATTTGATTCCACCCAAAAACATGATGTATAGTAGAATCTCTGATGTTTTCAGTCAAGTGCTATTGCGTTGGGAAGAGTTTGAGTGAGTGAGTTTAGTTTTACGCCGCACTCAGCAATATTCCAGCTACTGCAATGGGATTACATCATATCAAATCCACTGTTACACACCGAATTCAACAGGGTGTGAGACAAAGTGTCAGACAAGCTGTCAGTCTTGTTGTGAAGAAATGATTCTAGTATAAATATGACACCCTGAACCTTGCCTGCCTATCAGGATCACTGAGTACGTTTGTTATGTGTTCCAAATATCAAATTACAAACATGATTTTGAGGATCATGAACATTTCAAGAGAATTATCAAGCTAGCGTGTCCATGAAAATTTTCAGTGAGTTTGGGAATTACCTGAAGTGTAATCTAGTCAGACATATCATAAACTTAGCAGTGATTATCATTAAAGTTTGCTGTCTGGTCAGCTATTGGATGAAACCACTAAAGATTTTGAGGTCTGTGACAGATGTATCCTGATGTATTATTTTCTCAGATTAATATGTAACATTATTTGTTTCATTAGAATGTCATGCTGAGGTAATAAGTAACGAAAATTAATTGAAAGGTTTTACTTGAAGTGATGTTTATTCATCAGTGGCAGTGTACACAGTATATTTGTTAGAATTTAGAGTCCAGTTTGAAGATTGCCTTGAAACAATATAAACGATCCAAAGCCTTCTGTAAACCTTGCTTATCCCAGAAAGTAGTCTCTGCTGATACTGTTGTAAGCCTTTGTTAAAGTATAGGAATTATGATTGTCTTAAAGGGTTTCCGATTGTTATGTTTGCAAGGTCATTGACGGATTGTCACCCAGAAGAACATAAGAACCTTCTCAGGTTTTGTAATGATGTAAAAGGAAGTTTGTCAAAAGTTGATAAAATCAAGGTAGCATGTGTAGAAAATGACTGGTCTTAACGACATTGTGGAAGGAGGAGTCATTAGGATTGAGTGTACATGGTCTTCTCTATGTATTTACAGGCCAACCTCAACTGCATTACTCTGTCAACACAGAAGGAGATTGTAGAGCTTGACATCGGCGCAATCCTGCACCCTCCCACATGGCTGGAGGACGAGACTGAGTATGACATCGAGTGTATCCGCAAGTGAGTACCTCATGGGCAGCCATGGTGGAATAGGTCTTCAGGGTCCCATGCTTGTCCTTTTGGGGATTCAGAATTAGAGTAGGTGCCAAGAAACCTAGGCTTGATGTCCTTGTGGGAAATCAGGGTTAAAATATGTGTCTAGAAACCTGGGCTTGATGTCCTTGTGTGGGATTCAGGGTAAAAATAGGTGTCAAGAAATGTAAGCTTGATGTTCTTGGGGGATTCAAGGTTAGAATAGATGTCTAGAAACCAAGGGCTTGATGTCCTTGTTGGGATTCAGGGTACAAATAGGGCCCAGAAACCTAGGCTGTTGATCTGTTGATCAGGCTTATTATCTTGGTTGACCGCCTCTCAGTGTAACCTCATAGTCTGGGAACATTTTTCTCAAGATTTGTATACAGAAAATGTTCAATCAAAAGTGACAAGATCATGGTAATATATTGAAATCATGCCTGTTCACTTATTTCTGTATTTACTGTAAATGTGTTGTGATTGTCAGAAGACATATTATTTCTCCCAAAAATGTTTTTCAAAATGTTAGCTTTCTACAAAAGTTCATGTCTTTTCCTTTTGAACAACTGTGTCGAGTTGCCTGACCAAGGTTGTATGACTTCCAGCCCACACCCCACACCATCTGATGTCCCAGACTTCCTGGTGGTGCAGACCCCACAAGATGGGCCCATGCTCCCCCAGAGTGGCTCTCAAACACCCAGCACTCCTTACTACCCCTCCACCCCAGGCTCCATGTCTGTTGGGACCCCACAGGCCCAGACAGGCCGTGGGTCTAGCGTGGTACGTACTATACTGTGTATTACATCATGGTTTCTCTTGCTTGCAGTCTTATCATGTGCTTTGCTATTTCTCTGCGTATTGTTCACAATCATCTTTACATTTGTGATAATATTTTTAATGATTGAAGGTATTTGTGATGTTCATATATTGTTTGGTGTGTTCTTGTTGAATATTAGAGATGATATTAACATTAGATTCATATTTGTCAGAGCTTTTTCTGTGGAACTATAATTTATACATTTTGATAATGGCTAGTGTTTTTTAAATCTTGATTGATTTGTAAAGGGGGATACAGGTGGCTCAGTTTGCTGTGCTGATGTGGCAGGATCTGCTGATCAGGAGTTCAAATCCTGATTATGATCCTTGGTTTGTCAGTATCACACCCACGCTCTGGGTTCCATGGAAGTGGTAGACACCTATGACATGCCCAACCTCATGCTGTCATCCTCCGGCAAGCTGACACTTCATGATGACTGAAAAACTGTTGAAAGAGGTGTAAGCACAACTTATGCAAACAGCCACACACTCTGTACCTCATTCTGTTCCATGTATAGCACCAAAAGGCTGAGGGATTTATCTAGACGTGCACAGGTCCTATTTTTATGTCTCTAGTCTGCAAGAAATGTCCCTAAATATTTCCAGATTTGAATTTTAAAAAAGCCCTTTTCATGTTCCGAATTTGGTAGAAGTGATTCAAATTTTACTGATAACAAGACCAATTAAGTGGAAGAGATTTTTATAGTTAATTGACATGCGTTACATTGGATTGAATGTTGAAATATCTCTTGACTTTCAGAAAATTAAAATGTATTAGGATAATTCAAATTCTTATAAAAACAAACTTTTCTACCAGGAACGCTTAGTTTTGATCCTAGATAAATACTTGTGGGCTATATGTTTTAGTAATATGAAGATTGGTAACATAGATTGCAGCCATTTTACATGATATCTTTCATATTTTGCTCCCGGTACAGTAGATATTAATCCATTTAGTTTGGTAAGAGGGTAAATATTGTGCCTGTTGTATGAGTCATTTGATCGTGGTCCTTGTGTCAGGATAGAAACATTAGACATTGCCTGCTTATCTCCTTTGCAACTCCCTCTTTTGTTGCGCTTTGACATGAGAATTTCTAGAATGTCCTCAGTCTGAAATATAGCATAAATGATCATGTTCCTTATGTTTCCATGTGATCGAGTGAACTTGGCCAGTTGGCGGACAATATAAAACTAATCAGAATGAACACATTAATGTCAGTCATCACTATTGTTCTCCCAAAATTTGTGTTGACATGAATTTGAGAATTTTGAAAACATAAAGATTTGATTCAGACAAATAAGACGGAATTGCAGTACAGCCAGGCAGGGATCCTAGTAGTTAGTCAAGCTGAAGATTCTGGGTTTTCTAACTGTCCACTTGAGCATAACAATAAAGTTAAAAGTGGCGTTAGAAATCATGCACCCGTCAGGTCCAGACTCAATAACTTACTCACCACCATTGTATAGCTGTAAAATTGCTGATTGTGGTGTTGCACAGCAAGGGTGAAAAAAAGCATTCATTTTTACAGCAAATGTATAAAAATAATGTCTTGTTGCTGACATGGAGTGTCTCTACTTTAGCTGGCAAAGTTCACTGTCCATGCAAGATGAATGCTCTTTCCTTTGTGCATAGTGTTACTAGACTTTTCTGTTGATGTTACCCTCTCTGTATAATGAAGTGAATATTAAATATCCAGTAGAATTACTAGCTGATGCCATACCCCATGCTTTTGTGCCTTACAGAAACCATTTTCAAAACAGGTGAGCCTGTTCCGAGTACTTGACCTTGACCCTGACCCCGATTGCTCTTCTTTCTTTCTCTCTCACTCATATACTACATATCTTTGTGTCTCTGTATGTTGTGGTACTGTGGTCCCCTCTTGCTTAGGATTATCTTGCCATTCTTGTGATAAAGTCTCAATAATCACCAGGACAGAGGTGAAGTCATTTCATAAACACCTGGTTTCATAGCTTCTTCTTTGTGAGGAAGAAGGACACCTGGATAATTCTTTGGAAATTCTCAAAAGCTTTTGTTATTTTTAGTCTATAATCAACATACTGAATGGCTGTGATTAAAATTCAAACCAAGGCTATGTTTTACAAGCAATCTATGCACTTGCTTTTTGAAACAATTTTTTAAGTATGGGCATTGCAACAGTCCTAATACTGACTTGTTGGATAGACATTTCTTAGAAGTTCATTTATAGATAAGAAATTATTAAATATACTGTTATAAAAACATTTCAGTATAGATCCCTATAATGTTGCCAAGCAAGATTGAATAGTACGATTCTAGTACAGTATTATAATTACATATGGTGGGTGAAGGGCGAACAGTAACACGAATTTACTGGTATAATAACAATCACTTAGCTAGCTTGGTGGATCTCTGTTTCAGTAACAAATAGTGGTGATCCGATTAATTGAAATAATCGAAGATTGGTCGCAGTGACTAAACGACCAAGCAATCGATCATGTTTTCTCATAATCGAACACAAACAATTCTGGAACACTTGTTTTGATGAACAATATTTTTCACAAGGTTGGTTTTCTCTGTTACATTTCATAAGCACTATAAGCTTGTTCCAAGTCATGATTGAATTTATCTTAAAGACACCAAGAAATTTATGTTCCTAACATACTAGTCATCCTTTAAAGATGTGAAATTTTGCCCAAACCCCCAAAATAACTACATGTTTTTTTCCTTATTTTTTTTGTGCATTAACAAATTTCATAAATGACGCTAACCAATTATTTTCGATGATTGATCGGTGGTAATGAACCAATCATCAATTGTGAGATTTTTACCAATTCCCAACACTAGTAACAAATCAGGAATGATTTGACTGTCACAAGCTTGATTTACTGTTAAAGTAGTGCAAAGATGGTTTTGTTAAACAGGCCTTGGTGTTGCATTGGTTGGTCACTCATCTTCCCCATCATCAGTTGGCTGCAAATTGCAACAACTGAAAATCATAATCACTCACCAACACTGAAACTGCATAATGACTGTGTAGTCAGTCAACATCAGTATTTGTCTGATGACCTTGGTAGATAGATGGCTAATCCGGTCAGTGACTCACAGGACCACACAGTGCACAACAAGCAGAACTCCTTGGTGTCTCTTCCTCATCTTCTTTTCAGCTGCTTTACAGTAACAGCCTCTTGTACCCTGCTGAACAGTTTAGAAACGCGGACTGGTGTGGTTGCTTGCTTTAACAGAGACATAGGAACATAATTTATCTAATGCAGAACAGTAAACATGGTGACCTCTCAATATTTTCACCTACTGTTTTAATATCTAAATTCCATGAATCTTTTTTGCTTCCTACCCTCAACACAAAGCTTATTTGTATAGTTTATCGACCTGGATGATTTCAAACGTGAATTAACTTTAATTGATTAATGCCTAATATCAAGTACCATCCATCCCTTGGTATCTTTATACAGGAGGGTAATGATAATTATGGTACAACTAGAAAAGTATTTTCGAGACCTGTTCTGGTATACCACAACAGTGCCTAAATACATATATGTATACAGGAGGTATCATTTAGCCCTTAGCTTCATGATAAGTAAGTAGTCAGTAGATGTTGTAGCTGCGATGGTGGGTTGGTACTTGCCGTTAATGCTGCTTGCACTAAGTCTTCACTTCCTGAACTATTTTGAAATGTAGTTCCTTCAGTCAATCATCCTACTTCATCCTAATCCTAATCCTACATCAGTGACATTGTGCAAAGTGTGTGATAATGATTTGCTGTGCTGATATTTGATACTCTGGGGTTTGAATCTGTGTTCATCATGATCACACTTGTGAGCACCTCGCCTCTGTTCATGGGTTTCACCATAGGGGTTAACATCTGAGACCTGTGTCATTTCGGGCTTTCCTTCCACATTGGGCTGGACTATGACTGGAATACTGTTAAAACTAATATTAGACCAACCTCACTCACTCTATAATAGCGACCAGTGAAGATCCGGGATAGAATAGGTCTTCAGCAACCCATGTGTTTGCCATAAAAGGCGACTATGCTTGTCGTAAGAGGCGACTAACGGGATCGGGTGGTCAGTTTCGCTGACTTGGTTGACACATGTCATCGGTTCCCAATTGTGCATATCGATGCTCATGCTGTTGATCATTGGATTGTCTGGTCCAGACTCGATTATTTACAGACCGCCGCCATATAGCTGGAATATTGCGGAGTGCGGCGTAAAACTAAACTCACTCACTCACTCTATAATAGCAATAGTGATAATAACACAGAGGCTTGTTGAAAGTGCATGGCATCATTGTCCAATGCAGTTGATCAGTGTGTATTCAGATAATATTATCAACTCCCTGAGGATTATATCTGTGTCTTGACTATACGAAACCTTGCATCTGTTTGATGTTTCAAAGTGAGTTCCCCAGTAGTACATCAATGTTCCTACAGGTGGCATGTGTGCCCGTGTATAACTTATGAGCCTTTTGAAACACATGTCAAATTGTCTCATCCATGGCATGGTGTATTGTGTGTCGTCATACTCCGATGGCTTGAGATTTTGCTCATACTATCAATCACTGGTTTGTTGAGTCCAGACTAATTATTCTCAGGCCTCTGTCATATAGCTGCAATATATTGCTGGATGTGGCACTACACACATAACAAACATTGCCTGACAAGTAGTTCTCTTGTTATGAAAAACCCACAGTGTCTGTTGTTGACATCTAATTCTGTAGCCCATAAGGGGTGGTGGGGTAGCCTCATGGTTAAAGTGTCTGCTTGTCACGCCGAAGACACGGGTTCAATTTTCCACGTGGATACAATGTGTGAAGCCCATTTCTGGTGTTCCCCACAGTGGTATTGCTGGAATATTGCTAAATGAGGCGTAAAACTAAACTCACTCACTCACTGTAGCCCATATAACATGAATTTTATAGTACTGCAATGTTGAGATTTTTTGTGTGCACAACCTGATGTGAAACTTCAGTACTTCTCTGTGACTGTGTAATAATGGATATGTGTAGGATGAAGTGTTGTGTAGGATGAAGTGTTGTGAACTTGATCTTTTTTGTAAATCTGGTAATTTTTCAGTTATCTTTTCAGGTTTAGCGTGTAATCTATATCTGTTTAAGCCCTGAACTAATGTGTATTTTCTTCCTCTGTGTATGCTAATCTGGGAGGGCAGGTGAAGGGACTGCACTTTCCTGGGATGCACAATCCTGCATTTTCCCAGTTTGTGCTTGACCGCAGTAAACGCTTGATACGCGTGGTGAGCTTGACATGCTTCCACATCTCAGTGTTGTGTGTCCTGCTTATATTGTGTTCATTGTCACAGTCTTTAAAGCAGTGTGACACAAAGTATTCCCTTAGTTGTCGATGTTGTCACAGTCTTTATAGCAGTGTCACACAATGTATTCCTTATATTGTGTTCATTGTCACAGCCTTTATAGCAGTGTGACACAATGTATTCCTTATATTGTGTTAATTGTCACAGTCTTTATAGCAGTGTCACACAATGAATTCCTTATATTGTGTTCATTGTCACAGTCTTTATAGCAGTGGGACACAAAGTATTCCCTTAGTTGTCGATGTTGTCACAGTCTTTATAGCAGTGTGACACAATGTATTCCTTATATTGTGTTCATTGTGTGACACAATGTATTCCTTATATTGTGTTCATTGTCACAGTCTTTATAGCAGTGTCACACAATGTATTCCTTATATTGTGTTCATTGTCACAGTCTTTATAGCAGTGTCACACAATGTATTCCTTATATTGTGTTCATTGTCACAGTCTTTATAGCAGTGGGACACAATGTATTCCTTATATTGTGTTCATTGTCACAGTCTTTATAGCAGTGTCACACAATGTATTCCTTATATTGTGTTCATTGTGTGATACAATGTATTTCTTATATTGTGTTCATTGTGTGACACAATGTATTCCTTATATTGTGTTCATTGTCACAGTCTTTATAGAAATGTAACACAAAGCATTCCTATTCCTTTTGTTGTGTTCATTCATGCAGTCAATGTAGCTATAACACAACTTCTTCATGCAACATTTTAGAAACAGTTGTATCAGAGAAGATGGAGCAGATTTATAAATTTCAACTTCTTTATTCTTTCAATAAACATTTCACACCAAGTTTGTTAAAGGTACAAGCATCTAAAATGTATAAAGAATAAAGAGTATGAAAACCATAAGTCAAATTTGTCTTCATGAATATATCATGTAGATTCTATTTAGTACAAAGTTTTGTTGAAAGGATGATATTCAAACTTTTTCATGTTAAGTTGAAACAGCATGTGTGATGTTTGTGTTCCTTGATGATTGCAACTTTGGTTTTGAGGACTATATTGACTATTATCTCGATAATATATGTCTGTGATAGTTTCTGACATAGCTGTATGCTTAGTTGATAAGCTTCCCTGTGGAAAGCTTCATGGGAAATAGTGTCCAGTGCTTATTGTAAGAGGTGTGTAATATTATTACCTTTTTGATTAAAATGTATAATTTTTTTGAAACAAGAAAATAACTAAGATGAGAATGATGTGGTGTGCACTGGCTGAAGGATTAACACTGATACCTTAGTTATTTATAATTTTGATATCTGTGTCATAGTTTCATAGTAAGTTGAATCTCACAGGGTTAAAATATTTGTTTTGGGGGTTATGTAGGTGTGTAGACTATGATTTTCATGATGGTGTTGCAAAGAAAAATCAATCAAATTTAATGCTCAGGTTGAGATAGAACCCAATTGCAATGTCAACTGGAATTGGAATTGGATCTCTCTGATATGTATTCTTTTTGCTTCCATGAAGTAATACCTCTCTTATGTGGGCTTTGCTTTCACAGTAAAGAGGACTGGGTGGCCAGGTGATAGAAACTGTGCAGATGTTTGTCCTCATGGGATGTCAGATAAACTGACAGGGTTTTGAACCCCAGATTAACCTCAATTATGGCCTTTGTCTGTCAGCACGACACTGTAATTGTCAGTTTCACCAATCTGCAACTGACAGACTTGGTAGTATTAGGAGCTGAAGTATGTTTAGGTGACCACCGTCATGTATGTTGTCACAGCACCGATCTGCGTCCATCATACACCTCCACAACATGGCATGTCATTGTTTGCTCACCACCAGTATAGTCTGTGACACCAGGTGTCCATTCACTGTTGTTCATGTGCAGTATGGCACAGTCTGTGTAATATGGATGTAATACATTAAATTTAAAGTCAGATGTAATACTATTGTTATTTCAATAATTCTTGAATAATTAGATGGGGATATCTTTTGAAGCCCGTAACCTCTAATGTTAATCTTACTAATGTAATTGTTGAACAGTGATATTATAAGTGACGCTCTGGTGGCTTGACAATGCCTGGATGCTATATGCAGTGATGTGTGTTTCAGATCTTGCGGCGGCAGGTTGTCGGAGTACTCCGTATGGGATCCCATCCCCATCTCCCTCACTGTAAGTAGACCAAGCACCTGCCACTGTTGACAGAAATTTCAAAGTTTCAGCTTCAGGATCAGTGAATGTATTCCACGATTCTGGTATCATTTTTAATAGTATATGAAGAACATCCATTAAAAATGAGAACAAAATTCACAAGCCAGTTTTACTTGTTAGGTATCAAACAGGGCTGTATTTATCTTCAAATTGTCAAATCTGAGTATGAGTGAACCAGTTGTTAAAGGTGCTGCATGCAGAGTTGCTTTCCCTAGGTGTGCCAGGATCATGTGTACATCTGGCGTGAGTTCAAATCCTTTGTTTGTCAAAGTGACCGAAGTGTGAGGTTTCAAATCCCTGTTGATATGTGTGTGTTTATGACTGCAGATCTGAGTGGTAGTGCCGATGGTAGGAGGAGTCAATGTGAGGTTTTAAATCCCCTGTTGATAAGTGTGTGTTTATGACTGCAGATCTGAGTGGTAGTGCTGATGGTAGTGTGAGGCCGTGTGAGGGTTCAAATGCCCTGTTTACATGTGTGTGTTTATGCCTACAGATCTGAGTGGTAGTGCCGATGGTAGTGTGAGGCTATGGGAATGGGGCCATGCACAGCCTCTAACTGTCCTCAGACAACAAGGATCCTTCCCCAAGGTCACCAAGGTGCTGTTCAATGCTCAGGGCAACAAGGTAAACTTTCAATTATGTCCGCCAACACAGAACATTAGTACTAAATCTAGCATGCTCTCTGAATACATGAAAGGGATCTTACTGAATGTGATGCTTTATGTCTTAATGGCAAGAGGAGTTCCAGGCTAATATGATTAAGGAAATCGTAATAAATATATCAGTCAGCTACTCTTAACATTCATGGTTATGTACTTTCACCTGATGAAAATGTACAAATATTTATTTCCCATCATCATTTAAACTGAGTTGTTACACCTGGCATTGCCTGGATTTCATTGCAATCTATGTTTGAATATATTGATATGACTTAATAAGAATAGTATTGAGAGTAGTAAGAGGAGATAAGCCTAATGGGTAAATTTGTGGTATAGTAAGCAACAGGGAGCGTTTTATGGATATACAACTTCTTTAGTATCAAATGTTGTATATCCATAGAACTGTCCCAGTTGTTCATCACACCAACTTCTAAATGCCACTCAAAGAAGTTGAGGCATAATACCTTGTTTGACTTGAGGCATCCCCTGATACTGACCTTTATGTTCCAGTGTTGTGTAAGCGACATAGAGGGATCCATCTGTCTGTGGCAGGTTGGCCTTGGCAGCAACTTCAACAAACCAATAATGGTAAGGCTTCTGTAGCTCCACTTGTAGGGGTAAGGACTTGAATAACATAGATGCTAACTGTATTGAAACTGTTATGTCATAGTAAATAGGTGTAGTTTGTACATATGACAGCAGTCTTCATTCTATGTAAGATATAGATAGTATGATGTTTTATGCCTTTCTGTTTTTGTGTTTCTTGGATGAAAGAGTTTGGTTTTTCATAACCTGGGTTAATATCTTTTTGACAACCTGATTGCAGAGCTTGAGCTGTCATAACAAGACCACCAGTGACTTCACATTTGTGGGTTCATCAAGTCTGATAGCCACAGCAGGCCACTCGTCAGAGAGCAAGAATGTGTGTCTGTGGGACACACTGCTGCCTCAGCGCAGTGCCCTGGTGCATGGTGAGTGGAGTGCAGTTGTTTGGCTATTTGGTTGGAAACAGCATACATGCGTTTTGTCTGCATTCGTTTCTGCTGCCTCAGCGAGAGTGCCCTGGTGCATGGTGAGTAGAGGGCAGTTGCTGGGCCATGTGGTCAGGAACAGTTTAGGATACAGGTGGTTTGTCTGCATTACTGAGTTTATTGATATTAAGGAATATCCTTAAAAACTGACCTTGGGAATTCATCTTGACTTTGTATTCATTCACAGAATAATATTTCCATTGCATATTGTAGGCTAGTTATCTTTCCATCCTGCTGTACGGACATATTGAGGTATAGATAAAATTAATCCCATGTTAATTAATCCATGCTGCTATGTCTTTTTGTCAGAACATGAAACTTTTCATAGTCCATGGTCTCTAATGTGTGAGCTATCAATGTGAAAGGTTTGGGGACAGCTTGTGTAGACAGGGCTTGAAATCAATGTTGTTGTCTGTTCCAGCGTTCACCTGCCATGAACATGGGAGTCCTGCTGTCGTGTACGCCCCACAACACCAGATGCTGATCAGTGGCGGCAGGAAGGGAGAAATATGTATCCTTTCAAGCCTTCTGTCTGGCCTAAAGAAAGCACTCGGCCTACAGCTTGTTGTCAAAAATTCAAGCTGCCATTATTGATTCCTCCCAATACAGAATAAGACCCAAGAACCCACATCTTTCATATTGTCACTATTATTATTTATTATAGGATACTTATACAGCGCACATATCCACGCAACTAGTGCATGCTCTAGGCGCTGGTATTTTTCCCTCGATATTGGATGTCAATCTCAACTGCACATCGTATTATCAATCTCAACTCCCTGGGGAGTATACAACTCTTGCTGCCACTAGGCGCACTGAGTTATTGTGGCTTTCTCGTCCTAACGCGGTCCCCATAAACAACTGGGTGGACTGGGACACATAGTCACAGAACTTTGTCCAACTTCACTGCACATTGCTGTACCTACAACTAGGTGTTTGCACGTATTCATGTGGCCACCATCTGGTCATATACCAACTGATTCGTGGGTTCTTTTAAGTGCACAGGGTTGTGTACTGTACACTAGGGGTTGTGACAAGACTGAAAGAGTCTGCACACAAAGTTGACTCCAAGGTTTTTACACCCGGTCACAGGTGGGCTCGATCCTGGCACCTCAACCTCGCTGGATCAGTATCCTGGCGCCTTAGCCAGCTCGCCCACCACACCCCAGCCTGAAGAAAACGTTGAAAAAAGAGCTCCTGTATCTCAGGGTCGGGCAATCACTACATTTGCATATTACTGATTACTAGCCGCAAGTCATAGGACCATCCCCCTATCCCCACCGAGATTATTGCATTATGATGATTTTAAGCTTAAACCTGTGATAGACTCTAGAATAAGGCTTTAAATGCTATGTGTTTCAGGGTTGCATTGTACAAAGCGACCTTACTCCTATGACAGTTGTAAGTGAGGTGAGGTGAAAGTGGGTTTAACGTCGCGTGCTTGAGAATACCATGTGCATGTGTGTGTATGTGTATGTGCTCTGCTTGTAGCCCAGACTTAAGCTGGTTTTATAGTGCTAGCCGACTGAGATATCATGCCGCAGTGAAGCATGCCATGTGTATACTTCTGAGGGTCCTTGTTGTACCCATTAATGCCGAAGCCAGGCGGAGACCAACAAGTACCATATTTTAACGCTTTTTGGTATGCCGGCGGGGATCGAACTCGAGACGGTGGACGCTATGGTCCGACAGTTGTAAGTCCATGTTAAGGTATGACAGTTACAATCACCTTAGAGCCAAGATCACTTTGTACAGCAGTACCCAGGACCCTTGTCTAGTGAAATGGGTTTAAGTTTTGTCAGCTTGGCTAATTAAAAACAGTAATTTACTTTAAATCTTCTGATATTGATGTCAAGTGTTTGATCCAAAAGACACAAAAGTGCAGCAAACAGTGCAGACCAGTTCAACACACAATTATTTGCAAGCTGCCTTGGTAAACCAGTAGCTACATTCTACAAAATGCCAGAAATCATTCCCTCACTTACTTGATCATTATCTACTCTGCAATGCCAAATGCCAGAATTCTCTCTTGCAAGTGTCACAAATGTAGGTATTTTTAATACAGCTCATGCAATGATTTATAGGTAGAAATTCCACATAAAACTCAAAATAGCCCACAGTGTAAGTCATTTGAGCAGCTATTTGGATGTGTGCTTGATGACTACCTCTATTCATTCTCCATATGCACAAAGTCAGTTTCCTTAGCTTGTGTGAGGTATTTTTGACATGCGTCAGAGACAGATGCGACACACATTCCAAGCTCACGATGGACCAATCAAATGTCTCGCTATGGATAGTGAAGAGGAATACTTCGTCACAGGATCTGCAGAGGGCGATGTCAAGGTCAGGATTGTACTGTTCTGTACGCTGTTATATGTAGAAAAATGACTTCCTTTACATTTATAAGTAATGGTTTATGGCAAATATTTGCCAATGTATATAAAATGTTTAAAAAATTCCAAAGCTGTTAATTCTGAATTGGATTGTGAAGCATAACCTTTTGAATATGATTTTAATGCTTTTTCTTTCAGGTCTGGGGCCTTGATATCCACCAACTCTTGTTCTCCTTCCCTGGAGAGCACAGCAAGAGCACCTTCTTCAAGAATGTGGGGTCCACGTCAGGGGTTGCCCAGGTGTCTCTGGGCCCAGGTCATCACCTGTTCTCGTGTGGGGTGGACGGCTCCATGAAGTTCAGGCAGTTGCCAGAGAAAGATATCATCGTCCAGACCTGGCCATCTTGACCAGCATGCTGATGTAGATATTTGAAGACATGGTGAAGTCATGTACTCTCACTTGTATGTGGATAATGTAGAAAGTGGTGTCACAAAGACTGGAGGCTAGGAATTATGTTCGTCTTTGAAAATGATTGATGATCATGTAATTTAGGAAACCTTCCTGGTCACTTGAAGATCATACAAGCCAGGATGGTGTAGAGCAGTTCCAAAAGGCTGCAGTGAGCATTAAGGATGACGTTTTCATGCAGGCTGAATTGATCTTGGTTTAGATTTGGGAAGATCAGATTATTGTATGTAGCTGTAGATTATGAAGGTGATTGTGACTAGGATGTGTACTAGCTCATTTTATTCGATCTTTGACCATCATAGACAGAATGACCAAGTTCTAGATTACTTAAGCTGATTGTGACCAGAACGGTGTACCAGCCCATTTTATGGGGTCCTTGTCCATCTTAGAGAGAAAGCCAAATAGGTTATACATTTGATGGCTTTAGTGATTCTAGATGACTAGACAACAGTATTGTCAGTGGTATAACACTGGGTAATAGTAACATCATTACAGTATACTATATTCATTACAACTTTCTAGCTGAAGTGTGTGTCATTGTGTCCTGCTGCAAAGTTTTCTTTTGGTATGATTTGAGATGAGGTAGTAAGAACAGAATACACAGTGAGGTGTAATGTTTAGATAATCTTTTTTGAAATATATTGTAGTTTAGGGGTAAGTATCAACAAAGTAACTTCATTGTGATTTAGGAATATAGTACAGAATAAGCTGTTATACATTGCTGTTGATGTGTTAGGGATGCTGTGCACACACAGAGCATCTGAACTCTACAGTGATTGGAGGGTTGTGATAAATATGCTATATTTTACTTCATGGTATGATGTGGACAGTATTAGTCAATTGTTGAGTGTATTGATGTGTTTGATATAGAAATAGGTCAATTTTTATGGATAGATGTGATATCCTAGAGTAGGCACATGTGACACCAAATGGGAAATATTAATTGAAGAGTAGTTGGAAACAAATAGTATCTTTGAATGTCTTATCTAAGTATGTTCCCAAAAGCAGATTCCAAGTTAAAAGAATTAGCACTGAAAAATTATTGCCTTAATAATAAATAACGACAGCAACACTAATAGCAATAATATTAATAAGAAACAAAAAATTTAGTGACTTGTGTTAGTGGATTGAAATGTCACTCTGAAGGAAATAATTAAGTTGATCTTCTTCTGACAAATTTTGACCTGATGGGGCTTCAAACTATGGATGCCAAAATGGAAACATTATTCATGAAAACTCCTGTGCAATAGGCATCTTACTGGTATGTAGAAGCTGTTCTTGGATATTACACATTAGTGCCCTATTCAGTTACCTCATGTTCATTTTATTCCACTGTCATAGGAACCGTGTATATACAAGCTGAACTTGTAATGTACAAACTGGTGGTCGATCACATTTACTGTTTAAGGAATAAGCGTAGAATTGATATAAACCCTCATTATTGCTTCATAAAGTATATTCTTGTCCCCTTTTCTGTTTGTTTATATTATGTATATATTATAATACTCAGAAATATACTTTCTCCAATTAATTCTGTAATCTGTAAATTTCATTTGATGAAATGGTATGAACTGCTTGTAATGTGATTTCCTCTCTTTGATCTCATGTGCAATATATTGTAAATACAGGCACCAATGTATTGAGTTGCACAGTGTTGTACAGATTGGAGGTGAAGTGTGCACTCTGGGCCAGTTGGCTTCAACAGTAGAGAGTTCGCTGACAAACTTTCTAGTCATTTGTACAGAATTCTTTCACTCTCTTTCTGTATTTTATTCTCTTTATTGTTTTATATCCCTAGATTTTATTTTGTCTGTATATTTTATATAGCCATGCTCTCACAATGGAAATGAATATTTTGTTTAAGCTCAGCCTTTCTCTTCTCAATATAATTGTATACATTTTGGGACTTAAAAGTTATGTGAATAATTTTATTTATATTTGATGATGAAATGTTACAGAGTGATCCCCCTTTTCCCACCAGTCGGCCATGTTGTTATCATTTTCATCAGGACACAATATAATGGACCCTGAGTATTATCGATTGAATGTCTGATAAACATCTATATGTTTTTTCATTGTAGAAAGCATAATAGAGTCTGTTATACATGTTTGTAAGATAATATTTCACTTTTTCACAGGATATGAGATAGATGTTGCCCCTGTGCAGGGCTTGTAGTGGTTTGTGATCTGCACCAGTTTTGATGTTGAAACATTGTTACTTGTACAGACCTGCTGTTTGTGTAGAAGATCGCTAGTTGTTTACTAGATGTTTATGAACATTGGAAGTGCATTGACATCAAGATTTACCTTCCCATATGAAAACATTACATACAACAGGAATGTACTCATTTGAGTTAGAAAGTGTAATAGGGAGTCACATACAATCAGTTACTGAGAGTCAGGTGCCAGGTCTGATAGAGTCCAGTATTCCTACAGTCTAAAATTTGTGGTTTCCAGTGGCAGATTCAAATGGGTCCTGATGGTACATGTCCTGGGTTAATTTTCTCCCCAACATCTCAGTCTATCATGACAATGTGTGCACATCAAAATCCTGGGTCTGCCTTTCATCTCCAATATATTCTGATGTGATTTTGATATACTGATATACAGGATATTTCTACCCAATCTGATTAAAAGGCTCATAATACACTGTTATTGACATTCTGTTTTAAGGTCTTCTACAGTCTGTTATGTACAGATTGTTGTTTAGTCTTGTTTACAGATTGTTATATAGTCTGTTATGTAGTCTATGTACAGTCTGGTACCTTCAGATTTACATATGGTCTAATACAGTCTGATATATGGTCTTATATAAAACCTGATATATGGTCTTATATAAAGCCTGATATATGGTCTTATATACAGTCTGATATATGGTCTTCTTATATACAGTCTGATATATGATCTAATATACAGTCTGATATATGGTCTAATATACATCTGATATATGATCTATATACTGTCTCAAACATGGCCGTGTATACAGTCTGAGAAATGGTCTCATATACAGTCTGATATAAAGTCTTATACACAGACTCATATGTGATTGTACACACAGTCTGATACATAAACACATCCTATATATAGAACAATTGTACTAGTTGGAGTCTTAGATGCACATGTAGATCGTATCACTCCATGTCCTTTACAAACAGGTTGTTCATTACCCCTGAGGGATATAATAGTTCTCTTATGTAAGAAGGATGAAGCATCTCTATATATTTACAGTTATTTACGTAATTGACTAATTGCCCTTGGTGCATCCTGATTGGTGATAATGAAGTAGGCATCTCTATATAAATAGTTGTGTTTTGATCTAACGGCCCAGTGTTTCCTGGTAATGGGTGACAAGGAAGTAGGCATCTCTGTTTAAACCATATAGCCCCAGGTGTGTCCTGATAATGAGGTAGGTATCTATATATATGCTGTTAGCCTAACAGTCCCAGGTGTGTCCTGATAGATAATGAATTAGGCATCACTATATAAAGAGTTGTCTAACAGCCCCAGGTGTGTCCTGATAGATGATAATGAATTAGGCATCTCTATATAAAGAGTTGTCTAACTGTCCCAGGTGTGTCCTGATAGATGATAATGAATTAGGCATCTCTATATTACAGTCCAGGTTCTGATAGGGGATAATGCCCTTTGAATAGAGTGTAATCAACAGTTGATCTGCAATGTGATAAGCTGTTGAGCAGAGGTGAACATACCTGGTATAGTACTGTGTTTGGTAGTTTGTACCTATTTATCATGTTTTGTATATAGTTAATGAAGTAGGGATGTATACACCATGGTCTGAATGAGTGCGATCTGCATCTATGATGTACATGTTCAAGGCTCCATTTCAAGGTTGTAAACTTCTTTCGTTACTTCTGTGATACAGTGTGAAAGTTAGAACAGTGAGTCTCTACACCCGATGTTCTTGTACTATATGTATTGCAGCCAGTTCCACATATATTGATGTTAATGCTCTGGATTCAGCATGGTAGGTTTACTTCAATTAAGATGATGACATGACATGTTCTGACAACTGCAAATGTGACCCGTACAGATTGCATCTGTCATGTTGAGAGACAGTTAATGTTGCACAGTTGCATCTTAAAGAAGAAGGGATGGGGTGGTTAATGTTGCACAGTTGCATCTTGAAGAAGGGACAGGGTGGTTAATGTTGCACAGTTGTATCTTAAAGAAGAAGGGACAGGGTGGTTAATGTTGCACAGTTGTATCTAAAAGAAGGGACGGGTGGGTAATGTTGCACAGTTGTATCTTAAAGAAGGGATGGGGTGGTTAATGTTGCACAGTTTTATCTTAAAGAAGGGACAGGTGGTTAATGTAGCACAGTTGTATCTTAAAGAAGGGATGGGGTGGTTAATGTTGCACAGTTGTATCTTAAAGAAGAAGGGATGGGGTGGTTAATGTTGCACAGTTGTATCTAAAAGAAGGGATGGGGTGGTTAATGTTGCACAGTTGCATCTTGAAGAAGGGACAGGGTGGTAATAATGTTGCATCTTAAAGAAGTTAATGTTGCACAGTTGTATCTTAAAAGAAGAAGGGGTGGGTAATGTTAATGTTGCACAGTTGTATCTAAAAGAAGGGATGGGGTGGTTAATGTTGCACAGTTGTATCTTAAAGAAGAAGGGATGGGGTGGTTAATGTTGCACAGTTGTATGTTGCACAGTTGTAAAGAAGAAGGGATGGGGTGGTTAATGTTGCACAGTTGTATCTTAAAAAGAAGTGGATGTTGGTTGTATCTTAAAGTTAATGTTGCACAGTTGTATCTTAAAGAAGAAGGGATGGGGTGGTTAATGTTGCACAGTTGTATCTTGAAGAAGGGACAGGGTGGTTAATGTTGCACAGTTGTATCTTAAAGAGGGATGGGATGGTTAATGGTTACAGTTGTATCTTAAAGAAGGGATGGGGTGGTTAATGTTGCACAGTTGAAGGGACGGGTGGTTAATGTTGCACAGTTGTATCTTAAAGAAGGGATGGGGTGGTTAATGTTGCACAGTTGTATCTTAAAGAAGGGATGGGGTGGTTAATGTTGCACAGTTGCATCTTGAAGAAGGGATGGGGTGGTTAATGTTGCACAGTTGTATCTTAAAGAAGGGATGGGGTGGTTAATGTTGCACAGTTGTATCTTAAAGAAGGGATGGGGTGGTTAATGTTGCACAGTTGTGACATGCTGTGATACAGCTAACACTGGTTCTTTTAGAAGAAAGACAATGTATCGTCCAACATCTGATTCCATTTTTTTGTCCAGACACAAGTCACCCAGCTGAAAATAGGATTGTGTCTGTTTATAGGGTAGGTAACTGCTTAATTGATACATTAACAATTTGAATACCAACAGGACAATGTCCTTTTGATTCACACGTTTGGACTGCCAATCATGTTGGGCCTACACCTCCTTCAAAGATAAAAGCCTGGCAGTGTAGCTTAACTTAAATTAACTTAGTATTAAAAGTTCAATATTTAGGGGATCAGATACAAGCACTACGCCTCCAGGGCCCCCATCCGTCAGAGTGATTTTAGCGCTATGACAGTCATGAGTCAATGTTAAAGTGTAGGAGTTATGATCACCTTATCGCTAAGCTGCTTTGTGGAATAGACCACAAGATCCATGTACCTCCCTTAATTTCAAATGTTGATGAACTAGGGTTAAGGATGTGGGTATTAAAATGTTCATCGTTATAACACAAATTAAGAATGTGGAGTGTTTTGGTCTGTCCATTATTTACAGCGGTGTTAGAATACTGAACATAATTCAAACAGATTTACACGTTTGCATAATTGTTGTTTCTCCTCCATAATATAGCGCCAGATGTACATGAGCTGTTAATTAGCATGGTTCCAGTGACGATGCCTGAGTTCTAACCATCATGTCAGCCGATATTTTTCATTAGTATCTAACTTCATTAACCTCCATATGTTTGTTCCATGAAGGGTTTCATCAATTCATCAATTGGGTTCTGAAGCCTGGTGTAAATTTAGCACTTTTATGTGTGTGCTATTTATTTCACATGTGTTATCAGTTGAATGCCTATGCATTGTTTGTGGTCACAAAGTTGGGTTTTGAAAAACCAGGTAGTCAGTACTTGTGAAATAGGGCATGTTACATTTAAACAATGAAAGTTCATTGAACATTGTGATGAAGGCATGCATAGATACACACACACTGGTAACTCAACCTGGCTTGTGGCTTTGTGGTATCGGAATACAGATCAATCAGTGATGTTGACCTGATTTAACAGGATCTGTTTCTTTCTAAATCGGTTACTTATGTAAGGATTTTGTCAACGTTTAATCTGTGTGTAGAGTGCTTGTTCTTTGAGAGGTAACAAAACATCAATGGTTACATCTAGGTAGGAACTTTGTCCCCAGGGAGACTAACTTTATTCATCATTCCAATTTAGTAACATTTTGCAGTGCTAGATGAGTTTGACTAAAATTAATGTGCTATGTCAATCTTCAGTCACAGTGAAATATATTTCATATATGCATAAAACCTTTCTTTACACATTTCTTGCACTTCATTTATGTGAATTTACATATCTAATATCGTGTGAAGTATTACATTCATGTTTTGTCTATATGTATTTATGATTGTCGGAAAGGAATTTTCTTGTTTAATATTGTACTATTGCAGAGATTTATAAAGATTTTAATTTGTTTTATTTTTTATTTTCATTTGTATAGATGGTATTGAAGGGCGAAAAGACCATGATGAAGTATGATACAGGTGTTTGCAATATAGGGTTTTATTGATACTAAACATGTTTGCCACTTCATTCCTTATACCACTGTTTCTGTTGTACCTACAGAGGACTCATTGGACTATTTGTGTTGGTACAGTGTGTACATTAAACTACAACAGTGTACATAGGTGTCCTGTTGTTGTACACACCTGTAGTCATGTTCCTTGTTGTGTGTCCTAACACCATTCAGTTCTGTTACAGAGGACGTTCAATCGTATATTGCCAGTTATGAATGAAAACGCAATTGTGATCAATTAATTAATTAAAAAGGTAATTTATGGTTAGCAAAGTGTTGTTTTCATTTATTTATGTTCATACGTAAATGTTGTTACTCGAGTGTGTGGGTGAAAATGAATGGATGAATTAGTGTTGCTTTATGCTGAATCAATAGTATTACAGCATCATCAGTATTACAGGTTTTCATAGTGAGAGTGAGTGTTTGGCAGCATTTTCAGCGTGCACTTGATATGTTTCACCACTGCTAAAAAAGTAAAGTGAAGTGCCTGTTTCCATGCTCAAAGCGCGCTAAGGTATTATTACCCTGGATAACCCGAGATGCCTGTGAGAAGCTAGAAGTCATATGATTTATCCCACCCTGTACCCGTTCACTGATGGTGAACAGAGGCAATTCTTAAACAAACTCACTTGCCTGATGTGAGACCACATGTGTCACATGTGCTTCTTTGTGGGGCAGGACTGAAGTCCAAGAAACTCCCAGGAGTCAAGCTGCCAAACACTGTTACCCATGCAAAGACTGTCTGTGGCTCCTCAACTCCAACAAATTTGTGACCTGGGCTCTATGCACTGTACCACACTCCACCACCATGATGCACCTGCTGCAGATTCTAGCCATGTATCATGTTACCTTTTTGAGGAACGCAATGATCCTTTGATTTACCTGTAACTTGTGTGGAGGACACCGCATCTACGATTTTGCTGGAATAAACGGTAAGTACAATGAATCATGTGCACAGTGCAATTAAAACTAAACCTTAAACATTGTCCAAGAAATTGATATGTTCCGAATGTATGGCTTAATTTGCAAATTAAGCTATATAAATGAGTTGGTTAAACTGAGCCAGTTGATGGATGTAATTTATAGGTCATCCGAACTATTTTAATGGGATTGGACAAGCGAATGGATGAGTTACGATTGATGGTCACATCAGCAGTATTTCAGCTATGTCAGCGATCTCACCCTCTCGGAATCAACCCCAAAAGTGCTAGAATCTGTTGGTTATATGTTTTGTGTGAATTACATGTGATAGCAGACTCAAGCGTTGTCATGATTTTGCTGAAATTCTACTGTGAATATGAAGATAGGAAGAAGCATGTCAACAGGAAAAACTAGAGTCTTTGAACGGTATTTAGAAGTGATACACATAAAGGTATGAATTTATGTCACCTTTGTTATTTTGTTACGTTTTCAGAGTATATTCATAAAATAGAGAAGTTGACATTCATAAATTCATGCCTTTAAGAAAAATGAAGTGCTCCGTACAGGCTCCTTACACTTAGAATATTACGCTTGCATCCCGAGAGTCTAAAATGTAAGAACCATAGAACGCGAGAAAAAGAAATGTAACAACCCCACATTTTCGTGGCCTGATTTGACAAGTCGTGACTGAAACTACATCGCATTCTCGAGGTCTCAACCGGGTTGTAGTTAAAAGAGCCAAAGGACAATGTTTAGTTTGTCCCTTTTGACTTTCCTTGGCTCTTTTGACTTTTCTTTGGCCCTTTTGACTTTTTCCGTTTTGGCCCTTTTGACATGTTTCCTCTCAACCTACGATGAAAAGTACCATGCTCCAAAACACAAGAAAGCAGGATCTTAACAAAGACTTTTAAAAATAAATTCTGTGACCTCACATTTCTTCATATTTTGCTCTTTCTAAAGGTCGAAATGGCTATAATGCCCCTTACCAATATTCTGATGTATGTTTCTTGTCCTGGTCAGCGGGGAATGTGTATTCCATGCAAGGAAAAAATAGAATATTAATACACGCAGTTTCCTTTTTAATTTTCCAACCTGGTCAACCCTCATTGCTTTCAGGGAGTCATCAAAGGAAAGACTGAAATTGCTTCTCCAAGACCAAGAAGGTCCGTCTTTTCAGTATGCAATGTGTTCACTGATCTGAAAATGCTTCTGGGTAAACCATTTTTTCACACACAGTAGTACCGATAATGATGACCAGTATGTTCTCCATATGTTCTGGTCAAGTCGGTTCTCTAACATGAACACCATCGTCCCCACCACACATGAAGCAAAGAAAGGTTAATCAACTACATTCATGACACAATCAAAGCAAAGTTAACCAGTCTACCATAGTGATCTGTGCTAACTGATTCAGAGTGACAAAGACTATCCACGAGCTCTTCGGTGCTATCCACGTCATTTTCTCTGCTGTGATAAACTTACAAATATATACAAAACAAAGTTATTAAAATAATACATGATTTCATGTGGAACAAGTCTTACATGTACCATCATTATTAATATAAAACGTGTCTGACAAGACATCTATGGCAGCAGGCGAAACTACTGTTAGCCTAGTGGTACTTAAACAAAAATTATAAACCGACAGTGACGTCACTCTATTGTTCTTGCAAGGCAGTATTTCTTGTCATATCCCGATGGCCTGTCGATTAGGGGGCATTACTTAAATATTGTCCCTCTATCGGGGATATTACTTCAATATTGTCCCTCTGCCCCGGGATATTACTTCAATATTACTTGTTTTGAAGATTGATATAACTCTGTCTTGCTATCACTGAATGCGATCGTAAAACAACACTCTGCTTTACTCTGGCCCTTGGGCATTTCCTGCTTACTTTTCAATAATGCCCGCGGGTCATGTTATATCCTACATAATACGTTTATAATTTAGTGAACTAACCTTAAGCAGAGAGTAGTTGAAGATCTGAAGGAGAAGAACTCAGAAGTCGGTCAAAATGTCAAACGTCTGTTTAGGTGACCATGTTGTGCAGTTGTTTGAGGTAGACGAACTTTATAACATGTGCTGATGATCGTGAACAAAAATAGACAAGATTGAGCAGACCAATTAGAGAGTAAGGAATAGCTTGCCCTCTGGATGAAGGACAAAAGGACACAAACTCAAACTCTTTATTCTCTACAAACCGCCAACGGCGGTACATGAGATAAACGTATATACATTTACATAATATACAAGACAGCAGCTTACACGATAGAAAGATATAAGATAATTACAATATTTCATTTTTTAAATGCATTAAATACATGGTTCAGTAATTTAGAAAGGCCTTTAAGGTCACTTATGCTGGTAGTAGACAAGAGTTTCTTAAAGATGGACAAATTTGGAAATTCTAGGTATTTAGTGTTCAGAGACTGACGTCGGAATTGGAGAAAAGCTTCACATCTAAACAAGTAGTGAAACTCGTCTCCAACAGCGTTTGATTCACAAAGTGGACATTGTCTGTCTTCACGTGGAATGCCCAACCATCGGCCTGTCTCAATTGGTAATTTATGGTTAGATGTTCTAAACTTCAAAATTGGGTAGTATATATTTTTGGGAAGAAGAAGATATTTTTCTAAGATTGGTTGGGTTTTGAAATATTTATAATAATCCCCCTTGGAACTAGAATCAACATTTGACTTCCAATTTTGGAAAAACTGGGCTCTATAGGTGTTTTCGACCATTGAGACAAGCCAGGGCGTAGAACATACAGACGGATTTAGAAACACGTAGGATAGACCGCAGTTATCAAGGATATATTTCACAAAACGTAGCCATGGAACTTTATTTGTATTGTCACAGATGTGGTTAACACAGTTATATATAATCTGGGATTGCTTCCAATATGTGTTCTCAGAGGCTAATTTATGCCAGTGTGAAATAAATCGCTTATAGATTTTAATACTCAAAGGCTCTCTTCCAAATTCACCGTAAAGCATATAACTTGGGGTGCTATTTCTCAAACCGGAAGCTAATTTCAGAAATTTTAAGTGAATTCTTTCTATTATTTCTAAGTTCTCGTGTCCCCATATTTCTGAGCCATACAATAGAATTGGAACGACCATAACATCAAATGCATCGAAAAGGCAATCTAAAGGTAAATTAACATTCCTGGATTTCTTTAAAAGACAATACATTGCTTTGGTGGCGCTTTCCGTAAGTGATTTAATTGCTTGGACAAATCGCCCATTCCTATGGAATTTAATTCCAAGGTAATCGTATGTATCTACAATATTTATAGTTTCAGTTCCATAGGTAAAGTGGAGTTTCGAAGATTTCGCGGGGCCGCTTCCAAAGATAACAACTTTCGTTTTAGATAAGTTTACTTTAAGTTTCCATTTCTTACAGTAATGAAAGAAGACATTCAGGGATGTTTGTAAATCATTTGGATTTTCGCTGAACAGTACAGCGTCATCTGCATATAACAATATAATAAAATGGTATAAGAGGTCGATGCTGTTAGTTTGCGTTTCATATTTAAAACCAGTACAACTACTATCAAGGAGGTGTTGTTCAAGATCATTTAGGTATATCGAGAACAAAAGGGGCGACAGGTTTTCACCTTGTCGCACACCCTCGTAACACGGGAATTCATCTGATATGGTATTTCCAATCATTACCCTAGATTTTATGTTGTGATACATATTTCTTATGAGCGTGAAAAATCTCCCATCTATCCCAGTTTTTGTTAGTTTATGCCACAACCCAATTCTCCAGACTTTATCAAATGCTTTAGTGAAATCTACAAATACCGTATATAGTTTCTTTTTAGAGAGTTTTAGTATTTGGATCATCATTTGCATAGTAAAAATGTTATCACATGTTGAGAACCCTTGTCTGAAGCCTGCCTGTGTTGGGTTAAGTATATTGTTAGTATCTAAGAATGTATTCAGTCTGTTATTTAACACTCTTGTAAAAAGTTTACCAAGGCAACTTAAGATTGTTATAGGTCTGTACGAGTTGGGATCCAGTTTACACCCTTTACCTTTATAGATTGGTTTAACAACGCCAGTAAGCCACGAGTCCGGTAGAATACCCGATGATAGTACAAGGTTGAAATGTTCTAAAACAGAGGCATAAGTAGATCTATTGAGTCAATCAGAAAATCATTTTCGATTAAATCAACGCCCGATGCTTTATTTCTTTTTATTTGTTTTACCGCAAGTTTTATTTCTTCTCGTGAAACGTCGCTGTTAAGGGTCTCAGTATTGAAAATACATGTCTCAGTCAATTTCTCGTCGAGATCAGCCTCGTTTGGTTCGAATTCCTCACTTATTCCAACAAAATAT